ATTTTCTTTACTCGTTGCAGTTGCGACCCCGGACAAACGGAATGAAGGAAACCCAACAACACTCTGAAAGGAGGTGACCATGGAGTAGCTGGCCCCCCCGTATGTCAGAGGTAAAGTAGGTGAGAAGAGTATTGGGGATCCACCTAGATACACACATACTTGATAGAAAGACCATAGGAAGCCGTGTCCAATCAGTGTGTGCTGTTTCCTACAGGTGGATCCAGTAATAAAAATACATGGATAGCCAGGAGGACGCAATTTCCCACAGTGTCTCCAGGTAGCTGACATTGCCTTTATGATGCTCTAAGTCTTCCATTAATCCCCGTATCATTTATATGGATGATCGTTAGCTCTACGGTATAGGGGGTGACTTTTGTTTTTGTGTTTGTCAAGAGTGGAAATTCAAGTGCATTATTAAAGCGGTAAGTGAAGGAAGAGTAGAAGAGACCTACATGTGGGTGGATGAGCATGAGCAGTGTAGTGAGGAGGAAAGGCTCCCGAGATCAGCAAAGGTGAGTTGGTATTTTGTAAAAAAGCGTGATTCTTGTGTGGCTTACTATGGTGCGTTTTAGGCATTTATGTCTTTGTTATGGTGAGTGAATGAAATACAAAACATATATATATATATAATATATATATCACACCACACACACATATATATACACACATACATGCACATACATATTACCAGACACTTTAAACTCCAATCAAGAGATCAAACGAGCAGATGGTGTTCAGATCCCACTTTTGCACGATATTCTAATTTTTTTGAGTTTCACAAGTATATAATTGAAAACACCACTATGAATCGTGTGCTAAATAAATATACTGTACTTGTGTGATGTGATGTGAAAAAATATTTAAATAATTAAATATATGAAAATCAAGTAATTGGGTCGCCTACACCATACACATGTGGAGCTCCACCTGAAAAAAAAAATAAGTCAGTAGCTTCAAAAACTGTAGCTGCTGACTCTTAAAATACAGCCACTTACCTGTCCCTCAGTCTAGAGGTGTCCTCACCAACACTGGTTTAACCAGCCGTCTTCTCTCCCTGGTGCCAGCATCTTCAGTGTGGGCATGCGTGAGAAGCGCTGCTCTTTGTGAATGGCCCCGTAGTCCTCTGGGAGCTGTCATGTGTCCCACAAGACTATGGGGAGGGAGGGGGGAGGGCAACTTCCGCTTACCTAGGCGATCACAGCAGAAGTGGGAGCGGGGTACCTGTCAGTTTCGGGTACCCGCAAACTCCCACCCCCGCTCCTTCAGAGGTGCCAAACCTTAATGCGGAACTTCCCCTTTTGGGTGGAGCTCCGCTTTAAGGTCACTTTGTGGTAAACTTAAGAAAGCATAAACCCTGATTAGTGTACAGAGCCTTGAAAAAGTCTTCACACCCCTTGAAATTTTCCACGTCTAGTCATGCTACAACCAAAACCGTCAATGTATTTTATTGGAATTTTATGTGATAGATCAACACAAAGTGGCACTTAATTGTAAAAATTTTTTTACAAATAAATATCTGAAAAGTGTGGCGGCATTTGTATTCACCCCCTTTACTCTGATACCCCTAACTAAAATCTATGGAACTAATTGCCTTCAGAAATCACCTAATTAGTAAATAGAGTCCACCTGTGTGTCATGTGATCTAGGTATGAATACAGCTTTTCTGTGAAGCCCTCAGAGGTTTGTTAGAGAACATTAGTGAACAAACAGCATCATGAAGGCCAAGGAACACACCAGACAGGTCAGGGATAAAGTTGTGGAGAAGTTTAAAGCAGGGTTAGGTTATAAAAAAATATTCCAAGCTTTGAACATCTCACGGAGCACTGTTCAATCCATCATCCGAAAATGGAAAGAGTATGGCAAACCGCCAAACCTACCAAGACATGGCCATCCACCTAAACTGACAGGCCGGGCAAGGAGAGCATTCATCAGAGAAGCAGCCAAGAGGCCCATGGGAACTCTGGAGGAGCTGCAGAGATTCACAGCTCAGCTGGGAGAATCTGTCCACAGGACAACTATTAGTCGTGCACTCCACAAATCTGGCCTTTATGGAAGAGTGACAAGAAGAAAGCCATTGTTGAAGGAAAGCCATAAGAAGTCCCGTTTGCAGTTTGTGAGAAGCCATGTGGGGGACACAGCAAACGTGGAAGAACGGGCTCTGGTCAGATGAGAACAAAATTTAACTTTTTGGTCTAAAAGCAAACGCTATGTGTGGCGGAAAACTAACACTGCACATCACCCTGAACACACCCTCCCCACCGTGAAACGTGGTGGCAGCATCATGTTTCTTCAGTAGGGACAGGGAGCTGGTCAGAGTTGATGGGAAGATGGATGGAGCCAAATACAGGGAAATCTTTGAAGAAAACCTGTTAAGAGTCTACAAAAGACTAGAGACCGGGGCGGAGGTTCCCCTTCCAGCAGGACAACGACCTGAAACATCCAGCCAGAGCTACAATGGAATGGTTTAGATCAAAGCTTCTTCATGTGTTAGAATGGCCCAGTCACAGTCCAGACCCAAATCCAATGGAGAATCTGTGGCCAGACCTGAAAATTGCTGTTCCCAGACGCTCTCCATCCAATCTGGCAGAGCTTGAGCAATTCTGCAAAGAAGAATTGGCAGAAATGTCCCTCTCTAGATGTGCAAGGAGACATCCCCAAAAAGACTTGCAGCTGGAATTGCAGGGAAAGGGGGTCCTACAAAGTATTGACTCCGGGGGGCTGAATACAAATGCCGCCACACTTTTCACAGATTTATTGGTTAAAAATAGTGAACACCATTTCTCATTTTCCTTCCACTTCACAATGATGTGCCACTTTGTGTTGGTCTATCACATCCAATCCCAATAAAATACATTGATGGTTTTGGGGCCCAAGGGCAGAACCATCTCTGCGCTACAAACCAGCTAGTTGTCTGGGGTTATCCCCTAAAGCAGGGGTCTCCAAACTTTATAAACAATTTGCTGTCCTTCTGACTTTAGGGGGGCTGGACTGTGGCCAGTGGGAGAAGACAATGTCCTGGCATCAGTGGGAGTAAAGAATGTCTCATCATTGGTATTAACGGGAGATATAGTGCCCCATAACTGGTATCCGTGGGAAGAATAGTTTCCAATTGTTGGTGTCAGTGGAATGTATAGTGTCCCATCATTGGTGTCAGTGGGAGGAATAGTGCCCCATCACTGGTGTCAGTGGGAGGAATAGTGCCCCATCATTGGTATCAGTGGAAGGAATAGTGTCCCATCATTGGTATCAGTGGGAGGAATAGTGCTCCATCATTGGTATCAGTGGGAGGAATAGTGCCCCATCACTGGTGTCAGTGGGAGGAATAGTGCCCCATCATTGGTTTTAGTGGGAGGAATAGTGCCGCATCATTAGTATCAGTGGGAGGAATAATGACCCATTATTGCTGTTAGTGGAAGGAATAGTGCCCCATTCATTGGTGTCAGTGGGAGGAATAATGACCCATTGTTGGTGTCAACATATTTATCCCTATTGGGGGGGATATGATCTCCATGTGTAATACATAAGGGGGGATATGATCTCCATGTATAATAGATAAGGGGGGACATGATCTCCATGTATAATACATAAGGGGGGGATATGATCTCCATGTATAATACATAAGGGGGATATAATCTCCATGTATAATAAGGGAGGATATGATCTCCATGTAGAATACATAAGGGGGGATATGATTTCCATGTATAATATATAAGGGGGGATATGATCTCCATGTATAATACATAAGGGGGGATATGATCTCCATGTATAATACATAAGGGGGGATATGATCTCCATGTATAATACATAAGGGGGGATATGATCTCCATGTGTAATACATAAGGGGGGATATGATCTCCATGTATAATACATAAGGGGGATATGATCTCCATGTATAATACATAAGGGGGGGGGATATGATCTCCATGTATAATACATAAGGGGGGATATGATCTCCATGTATAAATACATCAGTGGTTCATATAGTGAACTCGGTGTAGAGTTATTCGCTGAGGTCATCACAGAGGACAAGGGGGCGCTCTTTATGTCCGGATGGAAAAAAATAATTCTCCAAATCACCAAAGGTTTCTTCACATACATGAGGGGGATAAATCACCGTGTATAATACATAAGACTGTCTCCATGTGTATAAGACAAAGAGTTGGTTCTGGCCAGCTCAGTGGATTGCTGTAGGAAAGTCCTGGATTCTTTCTTGGATACACAGAATATAACTGGATATAACTTATAGGTAAAGTTGATCCATAAGGGAATATCTGATTGCCTCTCGGGGGATCAGGAAGGAATTTTGTTCCCTGTAGGAGTAAATTGGATCATGCTTTGCTGAGTTTTATTGCACTCCTCTGGATCAACTGTGGATGTAGGATTATAACTTTTTTTTTTTTTTTTTTTTTTAATGTTGAACTAGATGGACTTTTGTCTTTTTTCAGCCAGACTAACTATGTAACACAGTAAACTCTAAAGCCTTAAAATGGTTCCATATCCTCCTTGTTCAGTCACTACAACAATCTCTGGTCAGGAAGGGGGGTAAATACCTCTGGAGGGCAAGTGCTTAATGGCACCCAAATGAAAAACATGCAAGAATGCACTTGGCACAGTGCCAAAAAATAGGAGATCTACTTTTGGTACCAAATGCGGATTGCGTCTCTTCATGTGTAATCCAGCCTAAACCCAGGGAATGCTTTTGGTACTTTTGGTACCAAATGCAGGTGTGAATGCAGCCTAGAGAAGAGTCCCAGATCCTCCTTGTTCAGTCACTTCAACAATCTCTTCTTCTCCCCCTTCCTCTGTCAGTAGACAGTAATGGGGGTACAGTATGTGCCCATGTGGGGGGGGGGGGGTCAGGAGCCATCAGCCTCTATAAGACTCTGGCTCTCCTCCTCACATGTATGTCATTGAGACGTGACCAGTCTCCCCCCACACACACTCTCTGGGGGGATTTCTCATACATCTTAGTACAGGGGGCTTCACTTTCATCTTTATTCACAGACACCAGAGGCACTCTGGGAAGCACTAGAGCTGAGGAAGGAAGGAGGAAAAGCAGAATAAAAGAGGAAGACATCCGTACAGAGATCAAGACAAGTGAGTAATACAAACACAGAAAGGTTTGCAGAGTCTTCTTGTTAGGATAACGCTTAATGCATCTAACCCCCCCTTTTTTTTATAGTGGTGAGGGTTTAGAACCAGTCATGTTTTTTTGTATCAATGTCCTGGATTCCCCCTTGGATACACAGAATATAACTGGATATAACTTATAGGTATAGTGGTGAGGGTTTAGAACCTTTGTCATGTTTTTTTTTATCAATGTCCTGTTGCCCCATTATAGAAATAAGGGAGAAAATCACCTGTGCTACAGTGTGAATAAAGGTGTTAAAAAATATTCTGAAACAATAGGGAAAACAATTAGTGAACTGCTGCTACTCTTTTCCCTGAACACCACAAAATGCATCATGCTTTATACCGTATTTTTCGCACTCCTCTGGACGCAACTGACCAGAAGATTATAACTAGGTTTTTTTTTTTTTTTAGAGGCAGAAAACAGGAAAAAAAAAATTGAACTAATGGACAGCAGACATAGTAGAGGAGATGACAGTAAACACTGCGGCCAGTAAAATGACCAGTGACTGCGGACAGTACAGGGATGACCATGACTGCGGACAGTACAGGGGGGTGACAAGTCCTTGCGGACAGCACAGTGCTTAATGGCACCCCAAATGAAAAACCATGAGACTGCACAGCACAGGGATGACCAGAGACTGCGGACAGCACTTTTGGATGACCAGAGACTGCGTTGCGCACAGGGATGACCATGCTGCGGACAGCACAGGAAGATGACCAGAGACTCCTTGACAGCACAGGGATGACAATCTGCGGACTTCTCCCCCTTCCTCTGTCAGGGAGACCAGTAGACTGCGGGTACAGCACAGGGATGACCAGAGACTGCGGACAGCACAGGGATCCAGAGACTGCGGACAGCACAGGGATGACCAGAGACTGCTGCGGACAGCACAGGGATGACAGAGACTGCGGACAGCACGGGATGACCAGAGACTGCGGACAGCACAGGGATGACACTGCGGACTGGGGATGACCAGAGACTGCGGACAGGGGATGACCACTTTCGGACAGCACAGGGATGACCAGAGGCACTGCGGACAGCACAGGGATGACCAGAGGACTGCGGACAGCACAGAATGACCAGAGAGCGGACAGCACAGGGATGACCAGAGACTGCAAGACAGCACAGGGATGACCAGAGACTGCGGACAGCACAGGGATGACCAGAGACTGCGGACAGCACAGGGATTTTTTACCAGAGACTGCGGGTTTAGCACAGGGTCATGACCAAGACTGTTCGGACAGCACAGGGAATAACCAGAGAATCCTGCGGACAGCACCCAAGACACAGCACAGGGATGACCAGAGACTGCGGACAGCACAGGGATTACCAGATATTCTGCGGACAGCACAGGGATGACAAGAGACTGCGGACAGCACAGGGATGACCAGAGACTGCGGACAGCACAGGGATGACCAGAGACTTCGGACAGCATAGGGATGCACCAGAGACTGCGGACAGCACAGGGATGACCAGAGACTGCGGACAGCACAGGAAAAACCAGAGACTGCGGACAGCACAGGGATGACCAGAGACTGCGGACAGCACAGGGATGACCAGAGACTGCGGACAGCACAGGGATGACCAGAGACTGCGGACAGCACAGGGATGACCAGAGACTGCGGACAGCACAGGGATGACCAGAGACTGCGGACAGCACAGGGATGACCAGAGACTGCGGACAGCACACAGGGATGACCAGAGACTGCGGACAGCACAGGGATGACCAGAGACTGCGGACAGCACAGGGATGACCAGAGACTGCGGACAGCACAGGGATGACCAGTGACTGCGGACAGCACAGGGATGACCAGTGACTGCGGACAGCACAGGGATGACCAGTGACTGCGGACAGCACAGGGATGACCAGAGACTGCGGACAGCACAGGGATGACCAGTGACTGCGGACAGCACAGGGATGACCAGTGACTGCGGACAGCACAGGGATGACCAGTGACTGCGGACAGCACAGGGATGACCAGAGACTGCGGACAGCACAGGGATGACCAGTGACTGCGGACAGCACAGGGATGACCAGTGACTGCGGACAGCACAGGGATGACCAGTGACTGCGGACAGCACAGGGATGACCAGTGACTGCGGACAGCACAGGGATGACCAGTGACTGCGGACAGCACAGGGATGACCAGTGACTGCGGACAGCACAGGGATGACCAGTGACTGCGGACAGCACAGGGATGACCAGTGACTGCGGACAGCACAGGGATGACCAGTGACTGCGGACAGCACAGGGATGACCAGTGACTGCGGACAGCACAGGGATGACCAGTGACTGCGGACAGCACAGGGATGACCAGTGACTGCGGACAGCACAGGGATGACCAGTGACTGCGGACAGCAGCACAGGGATGACCAGTGACTGCGGACAGCACAGGGATGACCAGTGACTGCGGACAGCACAGGGATGACCAGTGACTGCGGACAGCACAGGGATGACCAGTGACTGCGGACAGCACAGGGATGACCAGTGACTGCGGACAGCACAGGGATGACCAGTGACTGCGGACAGCACAGGGATGACCAGTGACTGCGGACAGCACAGGGATGACCAGTGACTGCGGACAGCACAGGGATGACCAGTGACTGCGGACAGCACAGGGATGACCAGAGACTGCGGACAGCACAGGGATGACCAGAGACTGCGGACAGCACAGGGATGACCAGAGACTGCGGACAGCACAGGGATGACCAGAGACTGCGGACAGCACAGGGATGACCAGAGACTGCGGACAGCACAGGGATGACCAGAGACTGCGGACAGCACAGGGATGACCAGAGACTGCGGACAGCACAGGGATGACCAGAGACTGCGGACAGTACAGGAGATGACTGCTGACCTTTGGGGGAGGGAGGGGGAGCGGGTACCTGAAATTGAGAGTTTTTCTTTGATCTTACCTGTTCCTCTATCCAGCCGCGCGCTGTCTACCCAGCTTCTGTAGTGTGGGCGCTCGGCGGACAGCCCGATGCCCAGTGCGCATGCGCGAGAAGCGCTGCGCTTTGTGATTGGTCCGGTGGCTTCTGGGATCTGTCATGTGTCCCTGGTACCGCCTTACCATTCACAAAGAGCACCGCTTCTTGTGCATGCGCACTTGGGACCCGGCTGTCACGCACACTACAGAAGCCGGGAAGACAGCGCGCCGCTGGATAGAGGAACAGGTAAGGTCCCACTGCAGAGCTGAGCGGCCGGCCCGGTATTCTGACAGGGCGGCGGTGAAAATACCGGACCGGCCGCTCTAAGACGCACTGACATTTTCCCTCCTTTTTTGGGGGGAAAAAAGTGTGTCTTATGGAGCGAAAAATACGGTATATATATATATATATATATATATATATATATATATATATAAAATAAAATGAGTGCGCTGTTCACTAAATCATAAACATAAATATATCATATAATGATTATAATCATAAACAATCAATCAAATAAATTCTGCTGCATAAATTAATTGAAATGATATAAGTCCACATTCATATATTAAATAATTAAAAGTCCCAAGATCCAATAACACAGTGCTGTGTGCTAAAGAAATCCTCCAACGGAAAGTGCATAGGTGTCCACAAATGCTTGGCACAAAAGAAAAAATCAGCTTCCTACCAGACACTCCAATCAAGAGATCAAACGACCTCAAGAAGAAAACTTCTCTTCACAATAAGAAAACTTGAAACTGAAGTTTTCTTCTTGTGTTTTAAACCTTCCCTTGCATGATGTGGAGAGCTGTCTGATGTGATGGATTCGTTCAAGTGAACCTGCAGTTGTCCATTCATCTCCATGATATGGCTGACTAGGGTGTCAGTGTGGGATCTGAACACCATCTGCTCATGTGATCTCTTGATTGGAGATTAAAGTGTCTGTCTGGTAACAGGCTGATTTTTTTTTTTTCTTTTGAGTCAAGAATTTGTGGTCACCTATGCACTTTCCGTTGATGGATTTCTTTAGCACACAGCACTGTATTATTGGATCTTGGGACTTTTAATTATGTAATATATGAATGTGGACTCATATCATTTCAATTAATGTATACACATTTTTTGTGTAGCAGCATTTATTTGATTGATTTAATGTTTGATTATTTAGTGAACAGTGCACTCATTTTATATATGTGTGTGTGCGCGCGTGTGTATGTGTATATATATATATATATATATATATATATATATATATATATATATGTTTGTGTATGTATGTATATATATATATATATATATATATATATATGTTTGTGTATGTATGTGTATATATATATATATATATGTTTGTGTATGTATGTATATATATATTCCCCCATTATGAAGATTAGCCGGCCCCTGCATGTTAATGCCATGATGTGCTACTATGCACCACATACCAGTACATTATGGCAGACTTACCTTTCCAATGGAGCGCGGGCTGCCTGGGCTTTCTTCCTCACCCGGTCTTCTATCCTGGTTTGTGCTCTCTAGGCATTTGAATGCGTGGACTGTGATGACATCATTCCCACTCAGGCGCTTGGAAGTCACGATCACGGCACAGTGCTGTCTGCATTGACGGCACACTCAGTCTGCCCTGAATGTAGAGCTACTGTGCATGTGCCGGTGACATCACCGGCTGCATCTGCAGTGAATGTCTTCAAAATGGTGGAAGTTTAGAAGATATTCTCAGTACCTACATGTAAGCCTTATTAATAGTGTTGTATTCCTTGTTCTGTGCTGCCGCACGGGCATGACCTGTCACCGGCTGTGTCCCACTAGACAGAGCCGATGACAGATCACTGTACCGACCCACTGCCAGTACCATGTGTTCGTTGTGACCAATTACAGCAGATCACATGACAATTGTAAACAACAAATGGTTTCTATTCATGCCATTTATTGTGTACAATTGTGTTGCTAGCTGTGATTGGTCACAGTGATCACATGGTATAGACTGGGCCAATCACAGCTAATCACAACAAAACACACTGAATGAATCAAACGATTTCATTCAATAAAAATGCTTGCTAATAGCAGTGAAATTCACTGCTCTAAGCAATAATAACATGTAAAAAAAAAAAAAAAAAAATCCTGATCACTTCCCCAGAGTAGTACAATATTTCTATGGTGTTGTTTTGCTCTGGTCACAGTTTGCTTACAAAAAAAAAAAGATCAGTATTCCTTATCACCGGCCACAATTATGTGATGATGCTGTGACAGTATGTTAAAAAAAAAAAAAAAATGTGAAAATTTTTTTTTTCTTCTTAATTTCTTCATTTTCCAAAATATTATGACAAGTAATATAATATAAATCTCGTCATACCTCTTACCAAAAATTTTGGACTGTCTACTTCTAAAAAGAGTCATTTTGTGGGGGGATATTTGTACTGTCTTGACATTTTTGGGGCCTCGAGAAATGAGATCAGTACAGCAGGATTGATCGATTTTCAGATATATATACCATAGCCTGTGAACTCTAGAACATTCCTACAGACTAAATAATTCACACCGATTTGGATTATTTTCACCAAAGCAATGTAGCAGGATACATTTTAATCTACATTTCTGTAGAAAGAATATTTGCAAAATTTTATAACAGAAACAAAGAAAAATGTGCTTTTTTTTTCAACATTTTCAGTCTTTTTTTCATTTATTTAGCAAAAAAAAAAAACCCCATTGGTGATTAAAAACCAAAAGAAAGCTCTATTTGTATGAAAAAAATGCTAATATAGATGGAACACAGTGATCACTATGGCCGCCGGCATTGATCGCATAAAAAGAACCTGGCAGACTGGTTGTGCTGAAGTCGATCGATGGTTCTGACCTCAGTACAACCAGCCTGCCCATAGATGGAGTGTATCCTGGCCAGTCCCTGCTGAACCAGCTGAGATTCAGTCCATCTGTGGCTGGATTTAGACGTACTTGCTGTCCTGGCGGCATTGGTTTCATCAGACAGGCAGTGAACAGAAATCTGCAACAGGGACACAAAAATTCAAAGCCGATAGAGGTTCTAACCTTTTTTAACCACTTCAATCCCTGGCACTTTTACCCCCTTCCTGCCGAGGACAATTTTCAGGTTTCAGCTCTCTCACATTTTGAATGACAATTGCACGGTCATGCAACACTGTACCCAAACTAAAATTTTATCATTTTCTTCACACAACTAGAGCTTTCTTTTGGTGGTATTTAATCACCGCCGGGGTTTTTATTTTTTGCTAAATTAACGAAAAAATACCTAACATTCTGGAAAAAAACACGTTTCTTTGTTTCTGTTATAAAAGTTTGCAAATAAATAATTGTCCTTCATAAATTTAGACCGAGATATATTCTGCTACATTTCTTTGGTGAAAATAACCCAAATCAGTGTTTATTATTTAGTCCGTAAGAAAGTTATAGAGTTCACAAACTATGGGATATATCTGAAAATTGATCAATCCTGATATACTGACGGCCGATCTCATTTTTTGAGGCCCAAAAATGTCAGGATAGTACAGATATCCCCCAAATGTCAGGACAGTACATATATCCCCCAAATGTCAGGACAGTACATATATCCCCCAAATGTCAGGACGGTACAGATATCCCCCAAATGTCAGGACGGTACAGATATCCCCCCAAATGGCAGGACGGTACAGATATCCCCCCAAATGGCAGGACGGTACAGATATCCCCCCAAATGGCAGGACGGTACAGATATCCCCCCAAATGGCAGGACGGTACAGATATCCCCCCAAATGGCAGGACGGTACAGATATCCCCCCAAATGGCAGGACGGTACAGATATCCCCCCAATGGCAGGACGGTACAGATATCCCCCCAAATGACAGGACGTACAGATATCCCCCCAAATGACAGGATGGTACAGATATCCCCCCAAATGACAGGACGGTACAGATATCCCCCCAAATGGCAGGACAGATAACCCCAAAATGACAGGACAGATATCCCCCCAAATGACAGGAAAGATAACCCCCCAAATGACAGGACAGATATCCCCCAAAGGACAGGACAGATATCCCCCAAATGACAGGACAGATAACCCCCAAATGTCAGGACAGGACAGATATCCCCCCAAATGACAGGACAGATATCCCCCCAAATGGCAGGACAGATATCCCCCCAAATGACAGGACAGATATCCCCCAAAATGTCAGGACAGGACAGATATCCCCCCCAAATGACAGGACAGGACAGATATCCCCCAAATGTCAGAGACAGGACAGATATCCCCCCCAAATGACAGGACAGATATCCCCCCAAATGACAAGGACAGATATCCCCTCAAATGACAGGACAGGACAGATATCCCCCAAATGTCAATAGAGATACCCCCAAATGACAGGACAGATATCCCCCAAATGTCAGGACAGGACAGATATCCCCCAAATGTCAGGACAGGACAGATATCCCCCCAAATGTCAGGACAGGACAGATACCCCCCAAATGTCAGGACAGGACAGATATCCCCCAAATGACAGGACAGATATCCCCCAAATGACAGGACACATATCCCCCAAATGTCAGGACAGGACACATACCCCCCAAATGACAGGGCAGGACACATACCCCTCAAATGTCAGGGCAGGACAGATACCCCCCAAATGTCAGGACAGTACAGATATCCCCCAAATGTCAGGACAGGACAGATACCCCCAAATGTCAGGACAGGACAGATACCCCAAATGTCAGGACAGGACAGATATCCCCCAAATGTCAGAACAGTACAGATATCCCCCAAATTACCCCTTTTTGCAAAGTAGACAGTCCGACATATTTCATGAGGCATGATTTTTGAAGTTGTAATTTTTTTGTCATCATTTTTCGGAAAATGAAGACATTTTTTTGTTGTGAATGGCCACAGCTAATCACATGACACAGATGGGCTGTGACTGGCCCAGCCTGTGCATGTGATCGCTGTAACCTTTCACAGCTAGACACATTGTATATAATGGATGGCATGAAAGGAAGCCATCCATTGTATATAACTGTCATGTGACCTGCTGTGATTGGTCACAGCATGTCACATGGTACTGGCAATGGGGCCGGTACACAGATCTGTCATGGGCCGTGTCTGAGGTACACGGCTAGTGACAGATTGTGCAGCTCTGCGGGCATGCGCAATGCGCGTTCTAGGAAGGACGTCATATGGCGTCCTCCCGGAGGGACGTAGTGTTCGCCTGGCCGTCATTTGACAATAGACTGGGCGGCAACTGGTTAATGTTTTTACCATTGTGCTGTTTATCTCCCCCGCCTGTCTCCAGCACTGCACCCGTGGACTAGCAGGGAGGAGAGAGACCTTGCAGTGTAATGAGCACCGATTGGTTGCTTTTCGGGAAAGGGGAGTGTCGGGCTTTAACGCTCAGCAGAAGCGGATCTGCTGAGCGAGTAAATGAGGCGCCGGCCCCAGTGAGATAAATAAAAAAAAATTTATTCCTTTGGGTTACCCTCACACACACGGAAGCACTTGGGTGTGATTTTCTGTCTGGCAATTCCCATAGCTTGAAGCTTGTTGCCCACATAGGAGCTGGAGCTTCTTTTGGGTGACAAGCTCCATTCGATGTCATTTGCCGCGATTGGCATGTGATTTGCTGTGCGGCGATTCACATCTCGTGAAGCTTCAACAAGGAGCAGCATCTTCTTTTGGGTGATAAGCTTCACGCGATGCAATTTGCTGCACGACGATCACGGCAACAAAAATGCAACACTTTTTAGGTGCCGTTGAAAATAATGGCACCTGAACCTGCGTTTTGCGATCGCGGGGCAGAATCGCAGCTATTCTGATTCAAATGCCCAGGTGTGAATGGAGCCACCCTGGTTCACACATATGCGACTCTTGATGCGTTTTCAAACTCACAGATTCGCAGGGTAGATATTATGTATTCCTATTGAGGTGCTTCACACAGATGTGATCCACAGGCATTGCGTTTTGAGCGCCGTCATGAAAAGGGTCCTGTGCGGGTGTGTAGCGGTGCCTTCCAGACTCAAGTGATCAAGTAGAGTGGCATGCCGAGAAGTGTTCACATAGGATTGCTATTGACAGGAGATTTGCATAAAAGTGAATGGAGGCGATTTTGCGTAGAAGTCCGTGGGAGGCGTTTTTGCGTAAGAAGTCAGTAGGGAGGCGTTTTTTTGCACTGAAGTCAATACTGAGGCGATTTTGTAGTGAATAGTGGAGGCGTTTTTGCGCTGAAGTCAGTGGGAGGCGTTTTTGCGTAGAAGTCAATGAGGAGGCGTTTTTGCACAGAAGTCAATGGGGAGGCGTTTTTGCACAGAAGTCAATGGGGAGGCGTTTTTGCACAGAAGTCAATGGGGAGGCGTTTTTGCACAGAAGTCAATGGGGAGGCGTTTTTGCACAGAAGTCAATGGGGAGGCGTTTTTGCACTGAAGTCAATGGGGAGGCGTTTTTGCGTTGAAGTCCGTGGGAGGCAGCTGTGGAGAGAGAGAGCAAAACGGCACCTGTACTAAAATCACACCAAAACCAGAATTACATTGCCATTTAAGTACAGATAAATGTGAACCCAGGCTATTTGCCCGCAGCAGGGCTAAATGTAGGTAACACCCACCTGCCTGGTACTGCATGTGCTGGGCGTCCGGTGATATAAGTCACGCATCCCTGGAATCACTTTAAGGGTCAATCCACCCAAAAGTGATAGTTAGTCACAGACAGCCCCTCATGTATTATGTATGACTTGGGATTATAGGCTAAGGTTGCTTTGGGGGCTCCAATAAATTTCTCTTGCATATCCTTTATTCACAGACCGTGGAAGCACCCGAAACGTTGGATCTGGCATGGAGGGAGACTTGCACATGATGATTAAAGAAGAGGAAGTTCCCGTAGAGATCAGCACAGGTGGGTAATAAGAACAGATTTAGCTTACTAGGTCCCTGGTGCCCAACCTATGACCCTTTTGCCCCAACAGTCAATAGCAGGAGCATTGATTTTTATAAAGGATTTGATAATGGCAGGGCTTTTCTTCAGCTTGAACTTGGTGGATCTCGATTCCATCACCACTGGCTCAGGCCCCCTGCTCACTACTATCACTTGTAAACACAGAGGTCCGGCTTATGTGTTTACCATTGACTGCTTGTCTCCCAACAACTCTCACAGATCTGATCTGAACAGCTCACACTGAGTGCAGGATGAGGACAAGGGAGGTGCAGGTGCCCGGAGTGCAGTGCAGATGCCAACACCCCCACTGGATGATCTCCCTGCAAGTGCGAGAGGTGGGAGCTACCTACAGTGTGCGGGGAGGTACTAGAGCCAGCTGGGTGCTTCAGCTTAATACAGCAACAAAAGTAGTGGGTGGAGGAGGGGGGTGGGGAGAAGATGGGGGGGATTGGAGGGGGGTTGCATGCAGAGTTCGGAGCTGAAGAGGGGTGAAAGTGAGATGTGGATGGGGGGAAGCAGAGGTAATCAGCTGTGGAAGAAGGCTGAACTCTGCACCTCTCTGTGTAGAGCACCCCTGAACTCTGCAGCTCTGTGTGTAGAGCACCCCAGAACTCTGCACCTCTGTGTGTAGAGCACCCTGAACTCTGCACCTCCGTGTTTGGTGCTCCACTGAACTGTGTGTGGTACTCCTCTGGACTCTGCACTCTGTGTGTGGTGCTCCACTGGACTCTGTCTGTGTGTGGTGCTCCACTGGACTCTGCACTCTGTGTGTGGTGCTCCTCTGGACTCTGCACTCTGTGTGTGGTGCTCCTCTGGACTCTGCACTCTGTGTGTGGTGCTCCACTGGACTCTGTGGTGCTGCTCACACTGGACTCTGTGGTGCTCCACTGAAGTGTGTGTGGTGCTCCACTGGACTCTGCACTCTGTGCGTTGAGCATCCCTGAACTCTGCACTCTTTGCGTGGTGCTCCACTGAACTGTGTGTGTGGTGCTCCTCTGGACTCTGCACTCTGTGTGTGTGGTGCTCCAGTGGACTCTGCACTCTGTGTGTGGTGCTCCAGTGGACTCTGCACTCTGTGTGTGGTGCTCCACTGGACTCTGCACTCTGTGTGTGGTGCTCCAGTGGACTCTGCACTCTGTGTGTGTGGTGCTCCACTGGACTCTGCACTCTGTGTGTGTGTGTGGTGCTCCAGTGGACTCTGCACTCTGTGTGTGGTGCTCCAGTGGACTCTGACCTCTGTGTGTGTGGTGCTCCACTGGACTCTGACCTCTCTGTGTGTGTGTGTGGTGCTCCACTGGACTCTGCACTCTCTGTGTGGTGCTCCACTGAACTCTACATTATTTGTGTGGTGCTCCACTGAACTCTGTGTGTGGTGCTCCACTGGACTCTGCACTCTGTGTGTGATGCTCCACTGGACTCTGACCTCTGTGTGTGTGGTGCTCCACTGGACTCTACACTATTTGCGTGGTGCTCCACTGAACTCTGTGTGTGGTGCTCCTCCTGACTCTGCACTCTGTGTGTGGTGCTCCACTGGACTCTGGGAGACATTAGGTGCTACATTTGAGGCCTCAAAACCTTGTAAATTGACAACCACTGTCCTAGATAATCTGATCAGGATCCCCTTAGGCTACATTGAATGGGTGAAAAAGTGTCCAACCTATAACTATCTTTTGCAGTAAGGTGCATATGGAGGGGCAACACAAATCACAAACAAACAAAAGATTTCTCAGCACACTCGCCAACCCGCAAAACAACCAAATTGACCCCGTCTAACAATTCACCTTAAAAACAGAGGGTTTAGTTTGCACACACTTGCAAATATATGTGTAAGCCACAGTGCCCACGCCAAGGGACCTCTGTATATACTGCGATCTTAACTATATATTTCTGTCACCCAAGCACACATAGCAATGGATAGATTAGGGCAGGAGTGCCTGGAGGGAGCCCACCCCTCCTTAAAGGCACAGGATACACGTGAAGCCCAGCAAGAGCTCAATGGCAGCTTAAGCCATCCAGTGTGTCCCCGCACCTAATTCATCCAAGTGTACAAAAAAGTGGCAACCACCCCAACCTTTATCTAGCCTGTGCTGTAAGATGCATGGGAGGGTATGCGTAGGCCGCAGTGCCCACGTCAAGGCTCCTCTGTATACTTCGGTCCTAACTTTATAAAACAGTTGGTCGAATTGGCGGCTAGGATGCAGTGGATGTCTTCAGCTGCCATTGTGCTCTTCCTAGGTGTCACGTGCGTCCCTGTACCTCTTAAGGGGTAGACTTCCTCCAGGCACACCTGCCCTAATCTATCCACTGCTATGTGTGTTCCAAGACGTATACAGAGGACCCTTGACATGGGCACTGCAGCTTACGCATATATTTTGCAAGTCTATGCAAACAAAACCCTCTGTTTTTAACATGAATTGTTACAGGAACAATTTGGTTGTTTTGCAGGCTGTCTGGTAGGTGTGCTGGGAAATATTTTGTTTGCTTGTGATGTACATTCACATGGGTGACTAGCGCCAGTGTGAATAACAGCAGCAGGAATTGCCTGATTCCCGCAGATGTTTCTGACACTTGTGAGCAGCTAGATGGGGCTGTCGCGCCCTGTGCACTTTAAAAACAGGTTAGCAGTGGCCACAGCTATTCGTGGCTGTTCGTCCAGCCAGCGATTGACTGCGGTGATCACTGTTGGTCGCACTTTGGTGGCAGAAAACAGATTCCTGCCATTGTTATATACACTGGAGCTAGTTGCTTGTGTGAATGTAGCCTTATACTTCAACTTGACCCAATCTTCTTCTGTTCTTACAAGTGACTTGGTGCAGTCCATATACTGTAGTACGTATGGGAGATGTTGTTGTATATGGTCCATACATGATACAAATGCCTCCAGAAATGCTCCAATCAACCCTCAGATGCCAGCAGTCAATAGTGGGAGTGGCAGCAATTATTTGTAAAGGAGTAATGTAGTGGTGGTCAACTTTCTTGATATGGCGGGCCTCAAGTGTGGCCCCAACATCATCAAAAGACTGCACATAAAATTCAATGAATATTCATTATTAGAGACAGCAAACACACAACAGGATATAAAGACAATGGGCATGATACAAGAGATGATCAGAGACTGAACATAATGCAAGGGATGATCAGAGATTGCAGATATGATACAAGAGATGATTAGAGATTGATATAGAGATGATTTGTGGGTATGATACAAGAGATGGTCAGAGATTGCGGGTATGATACAAGAGATGGTCAGAGATTGCGGGTATGATACAAGAGATGGTCAGAGATTGCGGGTATGATACAAGAGATGATCAGAGATTGCAGATATGATTCAAGAGATGGTCAGAGATTGCAGATATGATACAAGAGATGATCAGAGATTGCAGATATGATACAAGAGATGATCAGAGATTGTGGGTATGATACAAGAGATGATCAGAGATTGTGGGTATGATACAAGAGATGATCAGAGATTGCAGATATGATACAAGAGATGATCAGAGATTGCAGATATGATACAAGAGATGGTCAGAGATTGCAGATATGATACAAGAGATGATCAGAGAGATTGCAGATATGATACAAGAGATGATCAGAGATGATGCAGATATGATACAAGAGATGATCAGAGATTGCAGACATGATACAAGAGATGATCAGAGATTGCAGGTATGATACAAGAGATGATCAGAGATTGCAGATATGATCAAGAGATGATCAGAGATTGCGGGTATGATACAAGAGATGGAGATTGCAGAGATGATACAAGAAATGCAGAGATTGCAGATATGATACAAGAGATGAGATTGCAGAGATTGTCAGAGATTGCGGGTATGATACAAGAGATGATCAGAGATTGCGGGTATGATACAAGAGATGATCAGAGATTGCGGGTATGATACAAGAGATGGTCAGAGATTGCAGGGTATGATACAAGAGATGATCAGAGATTGCGGTATGATACAAGAGATGGTCAGAGATTGCGGGTATGATACAAGAGATGGTCAGAGATTGCGGATATGATACAAGAGATGGTCAGAGATTGCAGATATGATACAAGAGATGCAGAGATTGCAGATATGATACAAGAGATGGTCAGAGATTGCAGGGTATGATACAAGAGATGGTCAGAGATTGCAGATATGAGATGATACAGCCAGATTGATACAGATGGTACAAGAGATGGTCAGAGATTGCAGATATACAAGAGATGGTCAGAGATTGCAGATATGAGACAAGAGATGATCACAGATATGATACAAGAGATGGTCAGAGATTGCAGATATGATACAAGAGATGATCAGAGATTGCAGACATGATTCAAGAGATGATCAGAGATTGCGGGTATGATACAAGAGATGATCAGAGATTGCAGGGTATGATACAAGAGATGATCAGAGATTGCGGGTATGATACAAGAGATGGTCAGAGATTGCGGGTATGATACAAGAGATGATCAGAGATTGCAGATATGATACAAGAGATGATCAGAGATTGCGGGTATGATACAAGAGATGGTCAGAGATTGCGGGTATGATACAAGAGATGGTCAGAGATTGCGGGTATGATACAAGAGATGGTCAGAGATTGCGGGTATGATACAAGAGATGGTCAGATTGCGGATTGCATACATGATGGTCAAGAGATATGATCAGAGAGATTGCAGATATGATATGAGATGGTCAGAGATTGCAGATACAAGAGATGGTCAGAGATTGCAGATATGATACAAGAGATGATCAGAGATTGCAGATATGATACAAGAGATGGTCAGAGATTGAGATTACAAGAGATGGTCAGAGATTGCAGATATGATACAAGAGATGATCAGAGATTGCAGAGATGATCAGAGATTGCGGGTATGATACAAGAGATGGTCAGAGATTGCGATATGATACAAGAGATGGTCAGAGATTGCGGGTATGATACAAGAGATGGTCAGAGATTGCGGATATGATACAAGAGATGGTCAGAGATTGCGGGTATGATACAAGAGATGGTCATGATTGAGATATGATACAAGAGATGGTCAGAGATTGCAGATATGATACAAGAGATGGTCAGAGATTGATGGAGTATGACATGATACAAGATACAAGATTGATGGTCAGAGATTGTGGAGATATACAAGATACATGATACAAGAGATGATCAGATATTACATAGTCTGCCTGAAAAAAGGCAAAAGTCCATCCAGTTCAACCATTAAAGAAAAAAAGTTATAATCCTACACCCAAAGTTGATATGATTCAAGAAATGGTCATAGATTGCGGATTTGATGCAAGAGATGGTCAGAGATTTGAATATGATGATGCAAAAGATGGTCAGAAGCTGTGGATATGATGCAAAAGATGGTCAGAGACTGCGGATATGAGGCAAGAGATGGTCAGAGACTGCTGATATGAGGCAAGAGATGGTCAGAGCTGCGGATATGAGGCAAGAGACGGTCAGAGACTGCGGATATGAGGCAAGAGACGGTCAGGTCAGACTGCGGATATGAGGCAAGAGACGGTCAGAGACTGCGGATATGAGGCAAGAGACGAGACGGTCAGAGACTGCGGATATGAGGCAAGAGACGGTCAGAGACTGCGGATATGAGGCAAGAGACGGTCAGAGAGACTGCGGATATGAGGCAAGAGACGGTCAGACTGCGGATATGAGGCAAGAGACGGTCAGAGACTGCGGATATGAGGCAAGAGACGGTCAGAGACTGCGGATATGAGGCAAGAGACGGTCCGAGACTGCGGATTTGAGGCAAGAGACGGTCAGAGACTGCGGATTTATGAGGCAAGACGAGAGACGGCGGATATGAGGCAAGAGACGGTCAGAGACTGTGAATATGATGGAAGTGATGATCAGACACTACACATAAGATGGAAGTGATGATCAGAGTCTACAGACATGCTGCAGGAGACTGTCAGAAACTGTGATCATGCTATAGGAATTGTTGGAGACTTGGGACATGGTTCAGGAGGGTAATCATAGACTGGAGATCTATTACGTGAGACTGCTAGAAATCACTACTAAAAAAGGGGCAATAGGGAAACGCAGAAGTGTCTGCAGGGGCCCTGAGGACCACACAAGAAGTGCCAAGGGGCCACAGGTTGGATACTGGGGAAGGGGGGTAATAGCAGTGATTTCTACTTGCTTCATGTGACCAAGCCTGTAACATGTCTTTAGTCTCTGACTATCCTACCCTTTAACACATCTGCATATATGGTACATACGCATGGTATATATGTATATATTGGTGATGTCAGCGACCACATTTAAAGCCAACCTGAACCTTTTAAGATCTGAAAAACACTGCTTTATAAAGTTCCTGCGCAGAGTGTGGGAAACTGTTCCAAGTCGCGCAGAGTGTGGGAAACTGTTCTAAGTCACACATTGCAAGGTGGCACCTTCCACCCTGCTCATGTCAAGAGGGAACATCTGCAGACCGCATGCTTCAGAGAACCACAAAACTCCTGGAAGTGTTGCATTAGAAAAAAAAAAATGCAGCCAAGATTATTATAATAGGAAGGTACCACTGACCCACCCACCAGACCACGAGAAACGGCTTATTGCAGATTTATAGAATGTGAACCATGGTGACAGGGTCTCTTTAACAATACAGTGTTTTCCTACAGGTGAATTCGGGAACAGGCGTACACGGGATGATAGCTGGATCGTACAGGATTATCAGGTAGATGGAACGACCTTGTGAAATAATATAATACGTGATTGGGGGGGTGCTTTAATCACGTGCACTCCTGAGGATTTCCCCCCCCTTCCTGACCAGACCCTTTTTTGCGATACGGCGCTGCTTTACTTTAACTGACAATTGCGCGGTCATGCAATGCTGCACCCAAATGAAATTTTTTTTTCCCCCCACAAATTGAGATTTCTTTCGGTGGTATTTGATTGCCTGTGCGTTTTTTTTTTTTTTTTTTTTTTCATTTTTTTTGCACTGTAGAAAAAAAAGACCGCCAATTTTGAGGGAAAAAAACAATATTTTTTACTTTTTGGCTATTAAACATGTCCAGTAAAAAAATTTAAAAAATCAAATTTCGTCATAAATTTAGGCCAAAATGTATTCTGCTCCATGTCTTTGCTAAAAAAAAAAAAAAAATCCCAATACGTGAAAATGAATTGGTTACGAGAAAGTTATAGCGTTTACAAATACCGGTATTGATACTGGGATTTTTTTTTTTTTCTGTTTTTTTTTTTTTTTTTTTACTAGTAATGGTGGCGATCAGCAACTTATAGAAGGACTGTGGCGGGCATTCTGACACTGGGGGGAACTAACTTGGTGTTACTAACATCCCCAGTGACACCAATACAGTGACCAGTGCTAATAAAAAGCACTGACACTGTACTAATGGCACTGGGCAGGAAGGGGTTAACACGTGGGGCGATCAAAGGGTTAAATGTGTGCTGTTTCACGTTATGCTGTATGTGCTTTTGACTAAGCACACTGCTTTGTATGGCTCTGCTATGCAGAGCCATACAAAGCAGTGTGCAGGAGCTGACAGAGGAGAGATCTGTATTGTTTACATACAGCTCTCTCCCCCTTCGGTAATATTCGGAGATAGAGGCGGACTGACCATTTGGAAACTCGGGCACTGCCCGAGGGCCTGGGGTCAGTAGGTGGCCCTATGAGATGCCCCTGGTACCTTTTTCATAGGCTTTTTTGAGTTTGAGCAAGGACACAGGGGCCCCATGATCCCCTATTGCCCGGGGGCCCCATGAGTTGTCAGTCCGCCCCTGCGAGTCGGAGATCACCGGGTGTCAGCAAGTAATCACCGGCCAGGGCCCAGGGATTGACAGCCGAGGCCTTGTGGTGGCAGATGGGACATTTTGTAGTGTTTCCATTCACAGAGTCTTGTGAATGGATGATATGGCTGTTCAGGCGGTGCAGTACCAAATTCAAATGAAAACGGGGTACTCTAGGAGAAGTATCCTGCCATTCAGGTAAGGGGGGGCTGTAGTTTGTAGGTCTGTGTACGGGAAGGGGGAGGGGGGGGAGATGAGACCATTGAGACCATGTTTCACATTACAGCCTAAATGGGCTGACCATGAAACATGGTCACAAAAGTGAGAAAATGGGGCTGCTAAAGTAGTTCTAAAGCCAACATTTTTTTTACTTTAGTGCATTCCCTTCATTAAGGTGAAAAAAAATTTTCTTGCTTTCTGTCCTCCCCCTTCCCTGTGTGAAGGGGAAGAGAGGGGAGAAGAGATCCAGCACTGTGCACAGCTGCACCTCTTCTCTTCTCCCCTCTCTTTCCCTTCACTATTGGCTTCTACTGCTGTCAATCAAATGCAGTGAGGAGGAAGTGAGGGCTAAACCCTGCTGTGTGACTATGGAAGCATGGCACCATAGATGCACATAGCTTGGGAGTGAGCATGCACTGTGCGCCCCCATAGCTTGGGAGTGAGCATGCACTGTGCGCCCCCATAGTTTGGGAGTGAGCATGCACTGTGCGCCCCCATAGCTTGGGAGTGAGCATGCACTGTGCGCCCCCCATAGTTTGGGAGTGAGCATGCACTGTGCGCCCCCATAGCTTGGGAGTGAGCATGCACTGTGCGCCCCCATAGCTTGGGAGTGAGCATGCACTGTGCGCCCCCATAGCTTGGGAGTGAGCATGCACTGTGCGCCCCCCCATAGCTTGGGAGTGAGCATGCCCTGTGCGCCCCCATAGCTTGGGAGTGGGCATGCCCTGTGCGCCCCCATAGCTTGGGAGTGAGCATGCCCTGTGCGCCCCCATAGCTTGGGAGTGAGCATGCACTGTGCGCCCCCATAGCTTGGGAGTGAGCATGCACTGTGCGCCCCCATAGCTTGGGAGTGAGCATGCCCTGTGCGCCCCCATAGCTTGGGAGTGAGCATGCACTGTGCGCCCCCATAGCTTGGGAGTGAGCATGCACTGTGCGCCCCCATAGCTTGGGAGTGAGCATGCACTGTGCGCCCCCATAGCTTGGGAGTGCGCATGCACTGTGCGCCCCCATAGCTTGGGAGTGCGCATGCACTGTGCGCCCCCATAGCTTGGGAGTGAGCATGCGCTGTGCGCCCCCATAGTTTGGGAGTGAGCATGCGCTGTGCGTGCCCCCCATAGCTTGGGAGTGAGCATGCTCTGTGCCCCCATAGCTTGGAAGTGAGCATGCCCTGTGCGCCCCCATAGCTTGGGAGTGAGCATGCACTGTGCGACCCCATAGTTTGGAGTGAGCATGCACTGTGCGCCCCCATAGCTTGGGAGTGAGCATGCACTGTGCGCCCCCATAGTTTGGGAGTGAGCATGCACTGTGCGCCCCCATAGCTTGGGAGTGAGCATGCCCTGTGCGCCCCCATAGCTTGGGAGTGAGCATGCACTGTGCGCCCCCATAGTTTGGAGTGAGCATGCACTGTGCGCCCCCATAGCTTGGGAGTGAGCATGCACTGTGCGCCCCCATAGTTTGGGAGTGGGCATGCCCTGTGCGCTCCCCATAGCTTGGGAGTGAGCATGCCCTGTGCGCCCCCATAGCTTGGGAGTGAGCATGCACTGTGCGCCCCCATAGCTTGGGAGTGAGCATGCACTGTGCGCCCCCATAGCTTGGGAGTGAGCATGCCCTGTGCGCCCCCATAGCTTGGGAGTGAGCATGCACTGTGCGCCCCCATAGCTTGGGTAGTGAGCATGCACTGTGCGCCCCCCATAGCTTGGGAGTGAGCATGCACTGTGCGCCCCCATAGCTTGGGAGTGCGCATGCACTTGCGCCCCCATAGCTTGGGAGTGCGCATGCACTGTTGCGCCCCCATAGCTTGGGAGTGAGCATGCACTGTGCGCCCCCATAGCTTGGGAGTGAGCATGCACTGTGCGCCCCCATAGTTTGGGAGTGAGCATGCACTGTGCGCCCCCATAGCTTGGGAGTGAGCATGCACTGTGCGCCCCCATAGTTTGGAGTGAGCATGCACTGTGCGCCCCCATAGCTTGGGAGCATGCAGTGCGCATGCATGCCTGTGCGCCCCATAGCTTGGGAGTGAGCATGCACTGTGCGCCCCCATAGTTTGGAGTGAGCATGCACTGTGCGCCCCCATAGCTTGGGAGTGAGCATGCACTGTGCGCCCCCATAGTTTGGGAGTGGGCATGCCCTGTGCGCCCCCATAGCTTGGGAGTGAGCATGCCCTGTGCGCCCCCATAGCTTGGGAGTGAGCATGCACTGTGCGCCCCCATAGCTTGGGAGTGAGCATGCACTGTGCGCCCCCATAGCTTGGGAGTGAGCATGCCCTGTGCGCCCCCATAGCTTGGGAGTGAGCATGCACTGTGCGCCCCCATAGCTTGGCCCCCATAGTGAGCATGCACTGTGCGCCCCCATAGCTTGGGAGTGAGCATGCACTGTGCGCCCCCATAGCTTGGGAGTGAGCATGCACTGTGCGCCCCCATAGCTTGGGAGTGCGCATGCACTTTGCGCCCCCATAGCTTGGGAGTGCGCATGCACTGTGCGCCCCCATAGCTTGGGAGTGAGCATGCACTGTGCGCCCCCATAGCTTGGGAGTGAGCATGCACTGTGCGCCCCCATAGTTTGGGAGTGAGCATGCACTGTGCGCCCCCATAGCTTGGGAGTGAGCATGCACTGTGCGCCCCCATAGCTTGGAAGTGAGCATGCCCTGTGCGCCCCCATAGCTTGGGAGTGAGCATGCACTGTGCGCCCCCATAGTTTGGAGTGAGCATGCACTGTGCGCCCCCATAGCTTGGGAGTGAGCATGCACTGTGCGCCCCCATAGTTTGGAGTGAGCATGCACTGTGCGCCCCCATAGCTTGGGAGTGCGCATGCACTGTGCGCCCCCATAGATTGGGAGTGAGCATACACTGTGCTCCCCCATAGCAAGCAGCTTACTATGGGGGCACACAAAGAAGAGGAGGAGCAAAGATTGCTTGTGGGGAACCCAAGAAGAGGTGGTTTGGGACAGCTCTTCACAATATTGTTATACAGAGCAGACACGTATATCATGTTTATTATTTTGATTTAAAAAAAATTGCCTTTATTAACACTTTTTATAGAGGACCAGACTCACTCCTGCTCAGTATTAATTTTGAAAGGTCCTTAAGTACGTAAGGATTAATAGGCACAACTGCTCATACGTAAAATATGTTTCTTTTAGGCAAGTGATCAAGGGATGGTAAAAACGAGCAGCTGTGTAAAATAACAGCCGGACATGACTGTTCACTTGCCGCGGTTGTGATACTCTGCTTCATGGTCACAACATTTTTAACTTGGAGCGCAGAGTTTGAGAAGCGGCATTGCTTGTCAAACTCGCCCATTGAGTTCATTGGGGCCGTGCCGCAACAGCATGCAATGCATGCGATTGTGGAGCGGTTGTGTGACATCACAGGGTTAAATAAGGCAGTGAGGAGGCATCTAAATGGGGGTATCCTCCTGCGCTTTATATAGATAGGATCCCTATATTAATAGCTGCTGTCACTCAACTAAAACCAATAAGTAATCAAATATGTATCCATAAATTAATGAAGCGCTGTAAAAATAATATATATATACTATAGTGCCATTAATAACTAATAGTTCTCTGTGATAATTAACTCATAAATACAAAAAATATTTAGTGACAAAAAAGTAAATGAGTGATAACAAATATATCTTGTGTATCCATAATATTCAGTAAAATTATTATACAATTACTTGGCATATAACTGTGAATCACACAAATGCGAAAACCATCCGTGTATATATGAAAACAAGTCCATGCAAGTGAAACTTTGTGAAAAAAGTGATCTTCACTTCTAGTGCACAAAATCCTCAAATGGCAGCAATGCCTGCTCACCACCCCACACTGACCCACACAGGGCCAAAAGGCTATTCCTCTCCTCTATAACAGATCCTTATTGCAGATTGCTCATCCAGGGATCACAGGATTTCCACTCCACCTCCACTCATAAATTATACAAGACACAAGAGAGAACCCGACTGGCTGCCTCCTGCACCCGCGTGTTCTTTGTGTCTGCTCCCCGCATTAGTTATAAACTAATTTGGGTTATGTCTTTTACTAAAAAGATTACATAATAAATTTTGGCCAAGATTTATGATGAAATATTATTTATTTGCAAAATTTTGTAAGAAAAACACTTTTTAAAAAAATGTTTGGACTTTTTCATTTACCTAGCAAAAAAAATAAAAATCCCAGTGGTGAATAAATACCACCAAAATAAAGCTTTATCTGTCTCAAAAAATGCTAAAAAATTTCATATGGGTACAGTGTTGCATGACCGTGCAATTGTCATTCAAAGTGTGACAGCGCTGAAAGCTGAAACATAGTAAATAACTATTTCAGACATTTTGAGAGGAATAGAGAAAGCAGAAGCAGAGAGAGCAGTATGTGTTGAGATGACCTGTCTTTTCTGGTTGTAGTCACTATGGATCCCATCATGAGCATAATGCGGCGCGTTCTACCATTTTTTCCTTCGCAAAACCTGGAACTGACTGCGCTGGCGTACCGGGTTCATTTGAATACATGGAAAACACTGTGCATGCATTTCTGATGATCAAAAAAGGCTCTGCACAGCATCTGGATATGGACCAATCAAAAAACGCATCTAAACGCAAACGATTATAAACTCGGTTAATCCCGTTTCTAAAATATTAGTGCCGCGCTAAAATGCTTGTCACAATTTCATCAACGCATGTAAATTGAGCGTATAGGTGACTAAAGTGCAATATCAATATAAATTGTATAAATAATTTAAATGATGCTAAAACAAATAAAAGGAGTTTGTAGAATTATTCGTGAATATTAAAACATCTTTTGTGCAAAGATATCGGCTGAAATAGTGCCTATGATTGGCACGTGAGGTTATCCATGATGAACAAATGTGCAAGAACTTGTGAAAGCAAATCCACCCTTGGGACGGATGTACACTCACCAGACCATAAATAATAATGCACATGGGTTATAATACATCGCACATCTGGGGGTGCAGCCGTTTGCTGACAGTTACAGGATCATCCATCTATCCGTCAGGGTGGGTGCCTGGTGGTCCTGGCCCACATCCAGATGATGTCGAGAGCCTTTTTTCATCATCAGAAATGCATGCAAAGCATTTTCCATGTATTCAAATGGACCCGGCACATCAGCGCAGTCAGTTCCAGGTTTTGCATATCTGGTGGTCCTGGGGAGGAATCGGCTCAGCCACAGGAGCCAGAAAGGTGCTTACAGTGTAGTATTTTATTATAGTAATGGTAGCAAGTAACATAAAAGTATCCACATGCAGTAACACAAAGTAATAAAATAAAGTACCAAGATGGCCGCCGCTCCTCTGTAGCGGCGGCTAGCGGCGGCTAGACGTCAGCAATAGGGCTCCACCCAACGCGTTTCGTGTAATAACATGTCCTCAGGGGCACACCCATTGCTGACATCTCAAATTTATCTCTTTTATATAGCCCGCAAGGCGCCAAAATACTGCGAGGTGACGCCGCCATTTTGCCGGTGACACATGGTCACGTGGTAACCGCGGCCATCTTGCCGGAGTCCGGCCAGGTTGGATTGCAGCCATTTTACTGGAGGTGCTGATGTACTGTTGTGAGAGCACATATGTGAACAGGGACAAAGCTGTTCACAATCGTACAGAGTAGGCTATATGTTTAACCTCTTCACGCCGGCCAAATGCAAATGTGCGACCTTCCGGCGTCTGGGCCTAGACGCTGAGTGGCTGCACATTTGTGTTCTATTAAAAAAAGGACATATGTGCCGAGACCGTGTGCCCTGCCCGCTCCCAGCACACATGTCCGGTACTCACGGAAAGGTCCCGATCTCCTCTTTCGATCGGGACCTTTCCCGATCATGTGACCGCCGTGACGTCACGGCGGTCACATGACTAAATCCCACCCCGCCTCCCGGCTTCTGAAACTCTTAAAGGGCCAGGAGGCGCCGGCGTAAAGGGGTTAAAAAACAGGGAAAACAGGAGTATAAAGTCTAATGGCGTATAGAGAAGCATAAAAGTGTAGTAATGAAACTTGGATATTTCTATTGAAAAACGAGGTTTAAAAATGTATCTTATTGATACTAGCGATATCATATCTGACCGCGGTTAATCGTGTTTACAAGTGTTTGGAGTTTGAAATGCTGGTAAAATCTTCTGAATGCAATTTTGTTGTGTTAAAAAAAAACAACTGTAAACTCAACTGCCGGTAAATGACATAGTGTACATAGGAAAACATTAGGGAGAGTTCAGGGGCTGCTGAAAAAAATGCTGAACAGATTCTGAACGTCAATTTAGCAGCTGCAGTGTACATAGAGTCCTTAAAGTCATACTGAGGAAAAGCACAACTCTGAAGGGAAAGAAATTTCAGTTTCAGAAATAGCCTGTAAAGGGACAGTTTTTCCTGTTGTCTGTGGCTCTGCCGGGTGAATTTCTTTCACTTCTTTTCTAGTAATTGTCACCCAAAGTAACAAGAATGCTTGTACAGGATCACAAGGATCATTGGGCCGTCAGATGTTGCGTCATTGTTTGTAGGCACCTTGCATTTTTTTTTGTAACATTCTCTTTTTTTTTTCTTTGTGCTATTCAGAATGACAGTCTTAAAGTTGAAGTCAAGGAGGAAGCACAAGACGCGTATATGAGAGGTGCTGGGCAATGTAAGGAGGAGGAATTTCCTACAGAGATTGGTGCAGGTAAGTAACACCAAAACCAGAGAAGAGTCCCAGATCCTCCTTGTTCAGTCACTTCAACAATCTCTTCTTCTCCCCCCTCCTCTGTCAGTAGACAGTAATGGGGGGACAGTATGTGCCCAGGGGGGGGGGGGGGGGGGGTCAGGAGCCAGAAGCCTCTATTAGATTCCAGCTATGAGCCATGGAAGGAGAAGGTGATCCCTCCAGAGATCAGCACAGGTGAGGAATAAACACTAAATCCAGAGAAAAGTCTCAGATCCTCCTTGTTCAGTCACTACAACCATCTCTTCCCCCCCCCTCCTCTGTCAGTAGACAGTAATGGGGGGGACAGTATGTGCCCAGTGGGGGAGTCAGGAGCCATCAGCCTCTAGTAGACTCCAGCTATGAGCCATGTAAGGAGGAGGAAGTTCCTCCAGAGATCAGCACAGGTGAGGAATAAACACTAAATCCAGAGAAGAGTCCCAGATCCTCCTTATTCAGTCACTACAACATCTTCTTCCCCCCCCCTCCTCTGTCAGTAGACCGTAATGGGGGGACAGTATGTGCCCAGTGTGGGGGGGGGGGGGGTCTGGACCCATCAGCCTCTAGTAGACTCCAGCTATGAGCCATGTAAGCAGGAGGAGATGCCTCCAGAGATCAGCACAGGTGAGGAATAAACACTAAATCCAGAGAAGAGTCCCAGATCCTCCTTGTTCAGTCACTACAACCATCTCTTCTTCTCCCCCCTCCTCTGTCAGTAGACAGTAATGGGGAGATAGTATGTGCCCAGTGGGGGAGTTACAAGCCTCTATTAGATCATTGGGTTCCATGCCACCTTTCGGTTCAGTCTACAATTAAAGTGCAACCCCATTTCCAAAAAAAGTTGGGATGCTGTGTAAAAATCGACATAAAAACAGAATGTAATGGTTTGCAAATCTCTGAAAAACTCCAATTTTTATTCACAATAGAAAACAAAAAAACATATATGTTTACACTGAGAAAATGGACCATTTGAAGAAAATAATAGGGGAATTTTGAAATTGTTGGCAGCAACACGTCTCAGAAAAGTCGGTACAGGGCAAATAATCTGGCAGAGTAAGTGGTACTAACAAGGAGGAGCTGGAGGAATATTTTGCAACTAAATAGGTTACTTGGCGACAGGTCAGTAATGTGACTGGTTATAAAAGGAGCATCTTAGAGAGTCAGAGTGTCTCAGAAGTAAAGATGGGCAGAGGTTCACCAACCTGAAAGCTGCAACTGGGTCTTCTGACATAGCTTGTTCTCCAGAATGTGTTTTATTGTCTTGAACATGTCTGAGAATTCAAGTAACCATTACCATTTTCTTTTCCTTTTAGATGGACAATACAGAAGGTATGATATTGGACAACAGACTTTTGTCTACTGAAGGTGAAATGATAATGTCCCATTCAGAAGAAAATCCCACAACCCCAAATACCGGTTCCTAGTTACAATGATCCATCTAAAGCTTCTCCATGTGAGGAGAGTTTCTTCATCCCTCACAACCTGTCATAGAGTGGTGGGAATATTCTCTTGTTCAGATTTTGGCTAAGGTTTTACCCAGAGAAGTCAAGCTTGTCTCACACAGGTCAGGAACCATTTTTATGGCCCAAATGCTGGAAATGCTTCCTATGAACTCAACTCGTATCACATGGACCATATTCATGTTTTGGAATGCAGGAGAATAACAGACCTAAAAGGCACTAGTGAAATTATTCTCAGGGTTCTGAAGGTGCTTTTTTTTTTTTTCTTGGAAAGGATGAGCCTCTAATACAGCCATTCTCAATCAGGGTTCCATGGAAACCTAGGGTTCCTCCAGAGGTCACGAGGGGTTCCTTGAGCTGTGCCTTACTGACCTACAATGTGATGTTGTCTACATAGTTCTAGGTCCAACACCACTTGACAGAGCCAGCAGCATTACCCTAAAGGTTGCATTCTGACCCACCCCTGTAAGGGGGGCATTCTTTTAACAGACCACCACTATTATAAGAGGCATTTTCCTGATGACCACCAATGGGACTAATCTTAGCAGGGGTTCCCTGAAACCTGAAAATTATTGAAAGAGTTTCTTTGCAGTAAAAATCTTGAGAAGGGCTGTTCTAATACATCAGGGGACTTGTTCAAGCCTTTTCCGTGTTATGAGGGTCAGAAGATGAACACTGTTCTCAGTGCTAGACGTTTAAAGCCTTAATACTTTTTGAGGAAGCTTGAAAGGAACTCTGCAGGGAAAGAATTGGACCTGGCCCAAGGGCTGAAGATCACTGCAGCCCCAGAGTCGAGGAAAAAAGGTTTTGTTCAGTTCCTGATGTGATAGTAGCCATTTTAGTGCACTTGTGACAGAAGCAATTGAGTACCTTCCATGATACTTTTTTTTTTTTTTATTTGCACTAACGTACATCCTACCCCCTCCCTTCCCTTATGAAATCAGTAGAAGATCTGGATGTCATCTTGATCAGCCTTTCTCAACCTTTAATATCAGACTTAAAAGGCACTAGTGAAGTTATTCTCAGGCTCTGAAGGCATTTTTTGTTTTCTTGGAAAGGATGAGCTTCTAATACAGCCATTCTCAACCAGGGTTCCATGGAAACCCTGGTTGAGAATGCAGTAACATACATCCTTGGCAACCACCCTTTGGTGCTCACACTTCTCTTATTACCCACTAGCCTACAGGGCACTTATACCCCCTTCCTGCCCAGGCCAGTTTCCAGCTTTCAGCGCTGTTGCATTTTGAATGACAATTGCGCGGTCATGCAACACTGTACCCATATGAAATTTTTATAATTTTTTTGTGACAGAGCTTTATTGTGGTGGTATTTAATCACCTCTGGGTTTTTTATTTTTTTTTAAACAAACCAAAAACAACTGAAAACTTTGAAAAAAAAAAAGTTTTTTCTTAGTTTTTGTTATAAAATTTTGTAAATAAGTGATTTTTTTCCTTCACTGATGTGCACTAATGAGGCTGCAGTGATGGGCTGCAGTGATGGGCACTGATAGGCTGCAGTGATGGGCACTGATAGGCTGCAGTGATGGGCACTGATAGGCTGCAGTGATGGGCACTGATAGGCTGCACTGATGGAAACTGATAGGTGGCACTGATGAGGCACTGGTAGGTGGCACTGATGGGCACTGAAAGGCAGCACTCGTATATGGCACTGATAGGCGGCACTGACTGGCACTGTTAGGTGGCACTGACTGGCACTGTTAGGCGGCACTGATAAGCAGCACTGACAGGCACTGATATGCGGCACTGATGCATACTGATAGGCGGCACTGACTGGCACTGATAGTCGGCACTGACTGGCATTGATAGGTGGCACTGATGGGTGACACTGAAAGGCAGCTCAGATGGGCACTGATGGGCACTGGCAGGTGGCATGGATGAGCACTGAGAGCTAGCACTGATGGACACTGACAGGTGGCACTGCTGGGGCTACACAGATCATCAGGGCACACTGATCATCAGTGCTCGGATGATCTGTGTACATGTCCCCTCCGAGGAATGCCGATTACCGGCTCTCTTCTCCTCACGAGCTGTCAGCGTGACAGCTCATGGGGAGAGAAATGCCGATAACCGAATGTCACCTAGAGAAAAGATCTGAATGTCACTGATTATCTGTGCTGCCTATCAGTGCTGCCTCAAAAGTGCCCGTAAGTGTAGTTTCATCGGTGCCCTGATTATCTATCTGCCTATCAGTGCCGCCTCAAAAGTGCCAGTCAGTGTAGTTTCATCAGTGCCCTGATTATCTGTGCTGCCTATCAGTGCCGCCTTAAAAGTGCCCATCAGTGTAGTTTCATCAGTGCCCTGATTATCTGTCTGCCTATCAGTGCCACCTCAAAAGTGCCCATCAGTGTAGTTTCACCAGTGCCCTGATTATCTGTGTTGCCCATCAGTTCAGCCTCAAAAGTGCCCGTCAGTGTAGTTTCATCAGTGCCCTGATTATCTGTCTGCCTATCAGTGCCCATCAGTGTAGTTTCATCAGTACCCTGATTATCTGTCTGCCTATCAGTGCCCACCAGTGCCCTAATTATCTGTGCCACCTCAAAAGTGCCCATCAGTGTAGTTGCATCAGTGCAGCCTCATGAGTGCACATCAGTGAAGGATAAAAACTGCTTATATACTTTTATAACCGAAACTAAGAAAAACTTTTTTTTATTTTAGTCTTTATTCATTTGTTAAGCAAAAAATTAAAAAATCCAGCGGTGATTAAAAACCACCAGAAGAAAGCTCTATGTGAAAATTTTAATTTGGGTACAGTGTTGCATGACCGCGCAATTGTCATTCAAAGTGTGACAGCACTGAAAATTGGGCTGGAGGGGGATAAAAGTGCTCGGTATTGAAGTGGTTAATATAATGTAAACGGTTGATAATAATGTGAACCTGTCGAACCTCCTAGGGCCCCTCTCCAAGGATCTGAGGCGATCTGAGGCTCCTCCAGTAATCCTCATCTGAGAGGGCTCCTCCAGTAATCCTCATCTGAGGCTCCTCCAGTAATCCTCATCTGAGGCTCCTCCAGTAATCCTCATCTGAGGCTCCTCCAGTAATCCGCATCTGAGGCTCCTCCAGTAATCCGCATCTCATCTGAGGCTCCTCCAGTAATCCTCATCTGAGGGGCTCCTCCAGTAATCCTCATCTGAGAGGCTCCTACAGTAATCCTCATCTGAAGCTCCCATCCTAGCATGCTCTAATTTGTATTAACCATGAGGATGCTGCACACTTAAACAGCCCAGGTACTGAGTGAAGGAAATGTGGCTTTCGCCTGGCTCCTCCCAGGCCATGTTGCCGACACGTTTCGCCCCACCCACAGGGTTTAGTCATAGTCCTCTCTATAACTAAGCCCTGCGGGCAAGGTGAAATGCATCAGAGGGCGTGGGCTGGGAGGAGACACACTGAAGCCGCACTTCAATCACTCAGTACCTGGGCTATTTAGGTGTATATATGTATGGTGTATGTAAGACCGATCAATATTCATTTATTTGACATTTGCCTTTTTTCTAGAATTCCTGATGGTGCTGACCCACTTCTAGGAAGATCAACAGTAAGTAGTTGAGTCCAAGAGAAATAACCACTCCATGCGTTAATCTCCCTCCGGCCTCGGGTGAATCGGGAACCCACTCATGGGTGTGTCCTCGTTTCATGCATCATGTGATCATAAAACATTAAGGGGCCACACAGTTACATCTCTATGATAGTGGATGTTCATTGGGTTCCGGTTATATGTCCTCAGGCTGAGCTGCTGGTGGGCTGGTCCTGCCCATAGCAGAAATGTTGTGGCAACTGTCATATCTATTCTTTGGTCACATGATTGGCCATATGGCTAAAGCTTCTTATTTTCTAAGCAACGATAAGCATATCACCCCCTCGGTTACTTGTATGACATTAACATGTTACTAAACTCACAACAGTACAATCAGTCTGTATATACAGTAAAGCATGCTTGTTATACTCAATGGAACCTAAGGGGTAATCCTCTGCATTGTGTAACAAGGCTGTTTGATGCTGTCTTCTCTGATCCTCCGCTTCTTCTACTGTCCCCAATCTATCTCCTGATAGAACAGGGGCTTGAAGGCATTCTGCACATGCTCAGTTCGGTGTGTATTGCTAGAGAGGGTTTTTTTTTTTTTCTTGGGAGGGTGCGATGTGATCAGCACAGGGCCAATCAGCACTGTCCAGACAGAGGTCAGGGATTCTGCATTCTCCTAGAGAAAACCCCTCCTACAAATTTTAATCAATGCTCTGCTGGACACTGATAGAAGCCACAAGACTGCTCTAACTGTTGATGAGAAAAGGGATTTAGCAGTTTATATTTACTAAAATAATTGCATTTCCATGTTCTTTGTACTGTGGGAGAGCGGATATAGTATACAGGGTCCAGGGAGACTGGATATAGTGAATGTAAGGTCCGGGGAAAGCGGATATAGTGAATGAGGGGTCCGGGGAGAGCGGATATAGTGAATGCAGGGTCCGGGGAGAGCGGATATAGTGAATGCAGGGTCCGGGGGGAGCGGATATAGTGAATGAGGGGTCCGGGGAGAGCGGATATAGTGAATGAGGGGTCCGGGGAGAGCGGATATAGTGAATGCGGGGTCCGGGGAGAGCGGATATAGTGAATGCAGGGTCCGGGGAGAGTGGATATAGTGAATGCGGGGTCCGGGGGAGCGGATATAGTGAATGCGGGGTCCGGGGAGAGTGGATATAGTGAATGCAGGGTCCGGGGAGAGTGGATATAGTGAATGCGGGGTCCGGGGGAGCGGATATAGTGAATGAGGGGTCCGGGGAGAGCGGATATAGTGAATGCGGGGTCCAGGGAGAGCGGATATAGTGAATGAGGGGTCCGGGGAGAGCGAATATAGTGAATGCAGGGTCCGGGCAGAGCGGATATAGTGAATGAGGGGTCCAGGGAGAGCGGATATAGTGAATGCAGGGTCCGCGGAGAGCGGATATAGTGAATGCAGGGTCCGGGGAGAGCGGATATAGTGAATGCGGGGTCCGGGGTTTACTAACACTTTAAGAGGTGTAGGATGCACAGAGAAGTGTGGGTTGAGGGGGATAGCGAGTTTGTGACGGGGAGTTTTATAGCAGCATTCAATCAGCTTACCAATTCTTAGATGTAATGGCTGCATTACTCAGTAAGTCTGTTTGTTTTTCAACAAAACATACTGTCCTGCAGATGTAGCAGTTAGAGGGTTGAAACAAACTATTTACCACTAACAGGGTTGCTTACAATGATCAGCTTTTATTTATTCATGTAAAACGTTTATCCTAAAAGGGGGAAAAAAACTGCTGTAACTGATCATAAAGTTTGAGCTGGAGTTTGGCTTCAGTTTGGTAGTGTAGCTAAATCTGTTAGTATATCTAACACTCCCCTTCCCCCCCAAGACTGACCCTGCTGCTGTCCAAAGATGCCCCTGTACTCATGTATTGAGAGTGGGGGGTGCACTAATACAGGAGGTGTGTTACTGGCCAGATCACCAGGTGAAAACAGAGGGGAAAAGCCTAAAAAGAGAAAACAAATGCAGCCGTATCTAGCGATTGGTAAGCTGCAATATATGATATTTTTGGGTTTATTATCGCTTTAAAATTGGTTGTTGCAGATGGCTATTGATACTCTGTAGGTAGAGTGGGATTACACATGAAAGTAGATCATGCATATTGATAAATTACTTTTTTTTTTTCTTTTTTTTTTGCCAGGATTTTCTTTATGATGAAGAAACCATTGAAGATATGTATTCCTACACCATGGACTCTGATAGAGGGGTGAGTTGTGTTTGTTGCTGCTATGTCATGACTGTTGTAGTGGCCACAGACAGACAGCCGTCTCACCACTCTCTGAGACCAACGCCGAAGAGTTCCTTAGTGAGGCGCGTGCAGTTATCGCTACTTTCTGATTGGCAGGATGAGCCTACCTCTTCATAAAGATTTTCCAACATGCTGCAGATTTGGATTCTGTAAGTCCCTGGTGCCCAAGCTGTGACCCGGGGGCCGCATGCGCAACCCCTGGGCACTTTCTGTGCAGCACTCGGGGTCCCTGGAAGCATCAGTCTTTGTTTTGTTTGCCCTGTTAAAACAGCGACTAGCAGTCTTATGTAATATGTCCATGGTCTCTGACCATCTCTTGTATCATGTCTGCAGTCTCTGACCATCTCTTATATCGTGTCCACGTCCTGTATCATATCCACAGTCTCTGACCATTTCTTGTATCAAGTCGACACTCTGACCATCTCTAATGGCATGATTACAGTCTCTGACCATCTCTTGTATCCTGTCCACAGTCTCTGACCATTGCTCGTATCAAGTCGACACTCTGACCATCTCTAATAGCATGACTGCAGTCTCTGACCGTCTTTAGTATCATGTCCGCAGTCTCTGGCCATCTCTTGTATCATGTCCGCAGTCTCTGGCAATCTCTTGTATCATGTCCGCAGTCTCTGGCCATCTCTTGTATCATGTCCGCAGTCTCTGGCCATCTCTTGTATTATGTCCACAGTCTCTGACCTTCTCTTATATCATGTCCACTGTCCACTTACCATGTCTGCAGGCCCTGACTGTCTCTTGTATCCTGTCCACAGTCTCTGACCGTCTCTTGTATCCTGTCCACAGTCTCTGACCGCCTCTTGTATCCTGTCCAGTCTCTGACCGTCTCTTGTATCCTGTCCAGTCTCTGACCGTCTCTTGTATCCTGTCCAGTCTCTGACCGTCTCTTGTATCCTGTCCACAGTCTCTGACCGTCTGTTGTGTCCTGTCCACTGTCTCTGGCCATCTCTTGTATTATGTCCACAGTCTCTGACCTTCTCTTATAGCATGTCCGCTGTCCACTTTCCATGTCTGCAGGCTCTGACCGTCTCTTGTATCCTGTCCACAGTCTCTGACCGTCTCTTGTGTCCTGTTCACTGTCTCTGACCATCTCTTGTATCCTGCCCACAGGCAATGACCATCCCTTGTAGCAGGTCTGCAGTCTCTGACCTTCTCTTGTATCATGTCCGCAGTCTCTGACCTTCTCTTGTATCACGTCCGCAGTCTCTGACCATCTTTTGTATTACCTCTGCAGTCTCTGACCATCTTTTATATCCAGTCCACAGTCTCTGACCATCTCCTGTATCATGCCATTTGTCTTTTGGCCATGTCCTGTTGTGTGTCTGCTGTCTCTGACATCGAATATTCGCTGAATTTTATGCGAGAACCTTTGTTGATGTCTAGGGCCACACTGGAAGCCCCTCATATCAAGAAAGTTGACCACCACTGCAATAAGTGTTGTGGGGGGAGGGGGCTGCAGACTCTGACCAGGCGTGTATGGGTGTAATATGACACATGGTCAGAAAGGCGAGCTTTTAAAACAGTCTGGGATTAGTCTATGAGAAATGACAAAAAAAGGGAGCGCAAAATGTAATAAAATAGAAAGGTGTCAAAAACTTCATTGGAAACAGATGAGACAGAGCTGCTTAAATATTCCAGAGGCACTGAGCTCAGGCTGAAAGTTCTCTGAAAACCTTGCACAATATACAAACGTCAGTAAATGTCAGCAAACAGTTATCCTCTATTACACAAAGTAAAATACTGCAACTATCCAACGCGTTTCGACTTAGGCCTAAACGGCTGAAACGCTTTGGATTTTTAATGGCTGCATTTCACTTTGTACAATAAAGGATAACCTCTTGCTGACATTTATCGAAGTGCTGGCTTTCCATTGAAGTCAAAAACATTCTCACAAAAGCCATACGGCTATAGAAATCAAGGGATGCGCAGACCCCAGTAGCTGACACTGGATACACAGTACAAATGCTTCCTATGGATCTTGTTATCGAGTGATGTCCAGGTCCGGATGAAGCATTCTAAGCTCTATTCTAACTACACTGCTACCCTGTAAAGCCGGGGTGGGCAACTGTGGCCCTCTAGCTGTTGTAGAACTACAAGTCCCATGAGGCATTGCAAAACTGACAGTTGCAAGCATGACTCCCAAAGGCAAATTCTGTTTATATTGAACCATGTTTTTTGTTTTGGTTTTTTACTTTGTAGTCTTTTGAGGATTCATCGGATGAAGACGAGGAATCAGAACCCTCCTCTCCTGAAAGGGAGCCGGATGAGGTAGGTTGACTTTAAGTTGAAGCTTGCGGTCATTTGAACAACTGGACAACTTAAATCCATTAATGTAAACTTCTATACATCTGGACAATGTTCTGCTTTTAACCGCCTCCCGCCTGCCATATAGTACAATGACGGGCACGAGGTGGTTCTCTCGTTCTGGGAGGACGTCATATGACGTCATCCCATTCTAACCGCACATGCGCGGCTCCGGGAGTGCGCAGCGTGGTGATCAGCGGTGCGCTGTGTCCCTTGGACACAGCGGATCACTGATTCATGGAAAGAGCCGAAGATGTCGGCTCGGTCGTGTGATCAGCTGTGTCCAATCACAGCTGATCACATGTAAATAGGGAAATGCCGGTTATCGACATTTCTCTCCTCCCGAGCTGTCACGCTGACAGAGGAGAGGAGAGCCGGTAATCGGCATTCCTCAGAGGGGACATCTACACTGATCATCAGAGCACTGATATGTGCCCTGATGATCAGTGTAGCCCCAGCAGTGCCACCTGTCAGTGTCCATCAGTGCCAGATGTCAATGCTCATCCATGCCACCTGCCAGTGCCCATCAGTGCCTACCAGTGCACATCAATACCACATATCAGTGCCCATCTGAGCTGCCTTTCAGTGTCACCTATCAGTGCTGCCAGTCAGTGCCGCCTAGCAGTGCCACCTAGCAGTGCCAGTCAGTGCCATATGAGTGCTGCCTTTCAGTGCCCATCAGTGATGCCTGTCAATGCCCATCAGTGCCACCTACCAGTGTCTCCTCATCAGTGCCCATCAGTGCCACCTACCAGTGTCTCCTCATCAGTGCCTATCAGTGCCACCTATCATTGTCCATCAGTGCCCATCACTGCAGCCTCATTAGCGCACATCAGTTAAAGAGAAAAATCACTTATTTACAAAATTTTAAATAAAAACTAAGAAAAAACTTTTTTTTTTCAAAATTTTCAGTGGTTTTTGGTTTGTTTAAGAAAAAATAAAAAACCCAGAGGTGATTAAATACCACCAAAAGAAAGCTCTATCTGTCTCAAAAAAATGATAAAAAATTCATATGGGTACAGTGTTGCATGACCGCGCAATTGTCATTCAAAGTGTGACAGCGCTGAAAGCTAGAAATTGGCCTGGGCAGGAAGGGGGTATAAGTGCCCTGTAGACAAGGGGTTAAAGGAGAAGTACAGCCAAAGCAGTTTGTTCTACACTCCATGACTTGACAGCGGGGCTGAACTTCACTGTTAGCTGACGTCACTGAGCCAGTCCAGGCTGGGGAAAGATCCCGACTTTAAAGTCTGGATCCACCCCAAATTCTTGAGCGGCACCTGGCTCAGCCTCTCAGTGAGCCGCTGAGAGCCTAAGCAGGCCGCTCCCTCCCTCTCCACATAGCTCCGCACTCCAGTGAGCGGGGGGGGACCAGAGTAGACAGTGGTGACAGTCACCATTCTCTGCCTACAGCGACTGTGAGAACTCAACGGTCATGTGATCCTTAGAGCTGGTGGGGACAGATGCCTCATCCACCTAGGTAAGTACAATTTTAAAAAATCCCATACATCTTTGTAGCTGTCTTGGGCAATTTTTGCATTTTTCACACAGAAAAAAATACTAGAAAATGACTTAGAACCCAAAACATGATATATTTTCTGAAAGCAAAGGCCCTGGTGAATAAAATTGTGTTGGTTTCAATTTTTTATGGCACGCAATATTTCCGCAGACGTTTTATCAAACAATTTTTTAGCAAATAAAAAATTACTCTTCATTGAATTTTAGTGCTCACAAATACAATATAATACCCAATTGTTTTGGTAAAATACAAAAGATGATGATGTGTGTTGAGTAAATGGATACTAAACATACACTATATTGCCAGAAGTATTGGGCCCGCCCTCCAAATCATGTGATTCAGGTGTTCCAATCCCCTCCATTGACACAGGTGTATACAATCAAGCCCCTAGGCATGCAGACTGCTTCTACAAACATTGGTGAAAGAATGGGTCGCTCTAAGGAGCTCATTGACTCCAATCCCGTGATAGTTGCCACCTGTGCAATAAGTCCATCCGTGACATTTCCTGGCTACTAAATATTCCACGCTCAGCTGTTAGTGGGATTATAACAAAGTGGAAGCAACTGGGAACAACAGCAACTCAGCCACCAAGTGGTAGGCCACGTCACATGACAGAGCGGGGTCAGCGCATGCTGAAGCACACAGTGCGCAGAAGTTGCCAACTGTCTGCAGAGTCAATAGCTAAAGACCTCCAAACTTGCTGTGGCCTTCAGATTAGCACAACAACAGTGCGTAGAGAGCTTCATTAAATGGCTTTCCATGGCCAAGCAGCTGCATCCAAGCCTTACATCACCAAGTGCAATGCAAAGCGTCAGATGCCGTGGTGTAAAGCACACCGCCACTGGACTCTAGAGCAGTGGAGACATGTTCTCTGGAGTGACCAATCACGCTTCTCTGTCTGGCAATTCCGATGGACGTGTCTGGGTTTGACGGTTGCCAGGAGAACGGTACTTGCCTGACTGCATTGTGCCAAGTGTAAGGTTTGGTGGAAGGGGATTATGGTGTGGAGTTGTTTTTCAGGGGTTGGGCTTGGCCCCCTAGTTCCAGTGAAGGGATCTCTTAAGGTGTCAGCATACCAAGACATTTTGGACAATTTCATGCTCCCAACTTTGTGGGAAGAGTTTGGGGATGGCCCCTTCCTGTTCCAACATGACTGCGCACCAGTGCACAAAGCAAAGTCCATAAAGACATGGAGGAGCCAGTCTGGGGTTGAGGAACTTGACTGGCCTGCACAGAGTCCTGATCTCAACTCCATAGAACACCTTTGGGATGAATTAGAGTGGAGACTGCGAGCCAGGCCTTCTCGTCCGACATCAGTGCTTTACCTCACAAATGCTCTTCTGGAAGAAAGGTCCAACCTTCATATAGACTCCCTCCTAAACCTTGTGGATGGCCTTCCCAGAAGAGTTGAAGTTGTTATAGCTGCAAAGGGTGGGGCCAACTCAATATTGAACCCTACGGACTAAGACTGGGAGGCCATTAAAGGTCATGTGTGTGGAAAGGCAGGCCGACCAATACTTTTGGCAATATAGTGTATACTGACAGGCAAAGTGAATAAAATTGATTATCTCATTACAATGACATCTGAAAGTGGGTGGGATATATTAGACAGCCTGTGAATGTGTACCTGATGATGTGTTGAAAGCAGAAAATATGTGGGCAAGTGTAGATATTTGAGGAACTATGACAAGGACCAAATTGTAATGTCTAGGCCAGTATTTCTCAACCTTTTTTCAGTCAAGGCACCCTATAAAATTACGGAGAGTCTTGAGGCACCCTATAAAATTACGGACAGTCTTGAGGCACCCTATAAAATTACGGACAGTCTTGAGGCACCCTTTAAAATTACGGACAGTCTTGAGGCACCCTTTAAAATTATGGACAGTCTTGAGGCACCCTTTAAAATTATGGACAGTCTTGAGGCACCCTTTAAAATTATGGACAGTCTTGAGGCACCCTTTAAAATTATGGACAGTCTTGAGGCACCCTTTAAAATTATGGGCAGTCTTGAGGCACCCTATAATATTATGGACAGTCTTGAGGCACCCTATAAAATTATGGACAGTCTTGAGGCACCCTTTAAAATTATGGACAGTCCCGAGGCACCCTTTAAAATTATGGACAGTCTTGAGGCACCCTTTAAAATTATGGACAGTCTTGAGGCACCCTTTAAAATTATGGACAGTCTTGAGGCAGCCTTTAAAATTATGGGCAGTCTTGAGGCACCCTATAATATTATGGACAGTCTTGAGGCACCCTATAAAATTATGGACAGTCTTGAGGCACTCTTTAAAATTATGGACAGTCTTGAGGCACCCTTTAAAATTATGGACAGTCTTGAGGCACCCTTTAAAATTATGGACAGTCTTGAGGCACCCTTTAAAATTATGGACAGTCCCGAGGCACTCTTTAAAATTATGGGCGGTCTTGAGGCACCCTATAAAATTATGGGCAGTCTTGAGGCACCCTATAAAATTGTGGGCAGTCTTGAGGCACCCTATAAAATTGTGGGCAGTCTTGAGGCACCCTTTAAATTTATGGACAGTCCAGAGGCACCCTTTAAAATTATGGGCAGTCTTGAGGCACCCTTTAAATTTATGGACAGTCCAGAGGCACCCTTTAAAATTATGGGCAGTCTTGAAGCACTCTTTAAATTTATGGGCAGTCTTGAGGCACCCCATTCTAACATGTGAAAAACTATTCTAATAGTTTTATATATAACACCGCAACATCCACACATGGAGGACACCCAACATTAGAGGTGGTTTATTCTTCCAAAGCAAATACACTTTTGCACACTGGTACTGACTAGTATTCCCATGTTTCTCTTCTTCCTCAATTTTTCTCCATCACTGAGCTAATGTGACCCCAGCACTGATGGAGAGGGGTGGGGAGAGTCAAACTAGGATGGTGTGCAGGCAACTGGCATCCTCCTTATCAACTGATGATGTCATTGGTTGTCAGGATGCTGGCAGCTAGAAGGCCGTAATGGTGCACGACGAAAACCTGTGGCTTTGTGTAACTAAAAGGCCGGCTTGTTCCACCGGCTGGCTTGTATACAAGTTTTGGGCAATTTTTAGACATTTTGCCATGGCACCCCTGAAGAAACATCAAGGCACCCCAGTGTGCCTGGGCACCTTGGTTGAGAAAGGCTGGTCTAGACAACTTGGTCAGAGTATCTTCAAAACTACATCTCTTGTGGGATGTTCCAGTATGCAGTGGTCAGGACCGACCAAAAGTGGTCCAAGGAAAGAAAACCGGAGAACCAGCGACAAGGTCATGGGCGGCCAAGGCTTATTGATGCACGTGAGGAGCGAAGACTGGCCAGTGTAATCCAATCCAATAGAAGAGCTCAAATTGCTGAAAAAGTTCATGCTGGTTCTGATAGAAAGGTGTCAGGATGCACAGAGCTTCGCAGTTTGCTGTGTGTGGGACTGGGTAGCTGCAGACCGGTCAGGGTGCCCGTGCTGACCCGTGTCCACAGCCAAAAGCGACTACAATGGACACATGAGCATCAGAACTGGACCACGGAGCAATGTGCCTGGTCTGATGAAGTCATGAATTGTTTGAGTTGTTGACTTGGCCTCCAAGTTCTCCAGATCTCAATCCAATCAAGCATCGGTGGAATGTGCTAAAATAAACAAGTTTGATTCCTGGAGGACCCACTTTGCAGCTAACAGGATTTAAAGGATTTGCTACTGACGGCTTGGTGCCACAGCGTACCTTCAGAGGTCTAGTGGAGTCCATGCCTCAATAGATTATGGTGAGTGGCCATCGGTGTGTATGTACCGGGCATTTTCTGTGTCACAATATACAGTATACTATTAGTTTTTATAAATGATCCATTTAAGGAATGCACAATGGTATATAAATATCAGGGGTGACAGTACATTAGGGAACATTAATTAATTTTTTTGTTTTGTTTTTTATAGGAACTCAAGGAATTCCTTCAAAAGATGTACGAGAGAGTAAATCCTCCAGGTCAGCCAACTCCTCCATGCTTCCAGGATGATCCCATACGTCTCAGACCTCCTTCACCGTCCGATGAAAGCCCCTCAGGAGACACCCTCATCGGCAACAGCGACTGGTGCGTCTGCGGGAACTGCAGGCCGATGCTGACAAATTTCGAGTCGGTGTGCTGCCACAACGTGGACAGCGCGGACCGGTTTATCACGGGCGACATGCACTGCCTCACAGAGGCAGAAGAATTCCGTGAACGTTGCTTGAACGAAAGAATCCTCCGGTACCAACTCGAATGTGACAACCTCACGACTAAAAAGGATTTCGATAATGACAGAAATCGGTGAGCACAAAGTACATGCGTTTTTTTTTTTTTTTGTTTTGTTTTGTTTTTTTTCCTTAACCACTTCCAGTCCGGACACTTTTACCCCCTTCCTGTCCAGGCCAATTTTCAGCTTTCAGTGCTATCACACTTTGAATGACAATTGCGCGGTCATGCAACATTGTACCCATATGAATTTTTTAGCATTTTCTGAGACAGATAAAGCTTTATTTTGGTGATATTTATTCACCACTGGGATTTTTATTTTTTTTTGCTATGTAAATGAAAAAGTCCAAACATTTTGAAAAAAAAAGTGTTTTTCTTATACAATTTTGCAAATAAATAATATTTCATCATAAATCTTGTACAAAATGTATTCCGTTATCTTTTTAGTAAAAAAAAAAAAATCACCCAAATTAGTTTATAACCAAAAATTATAATTTTTTAAAAATTTTTTACATTTTTATTTTATTTTTTTTTATTATTATGTTTTTTGTTTTTTGTTGTTTTTTTTTCTTTTACATACTGTCACCCTAGCAGTACAGTGTCACCATGGTGACACTGTACTACTTGTGGGGGGTGATGAAGATTTTTTTTTTTTACACTGATTGCTTTTACATCCATAAAGGCTGTAAAAGCAATCATTTCTCCTTCTCTCTGGCTGCATTCTTGCAGCCATTGAGAAATACTGTGAGAGCTGTGATTGGTCACAGCTTGTCACATGGTACAAGGCTATTGTGAATAGCCCTGTACCATGTGATCTCTGTGATCATTCACAGATTTCACACGTAGTAAGCAATGATGTCAGAAGTGACATCTTGCTTACTGCTCTGCATGTGATTGGGACCTCACACAGAGGTCCCGTACGACGATCGGTGTTCTACTGTGTCCGGAGGACACAGCGGGCACCGGATCGCAGGGCTGTGCGCTTCCAGGGAGCGCGCACAAGCAGGGTGCGGGGAGGCCATTTATAAATGGCCACCTGACCCTGCACTGCCACCGCCCGTCCGGCCGTTTTATATACAATGGCCGGACGGGAGGTAGTTAATGCCAAAAATTATAGAAAAAAATTAATTTTTTAAAAACTAAAATAAAGTATATTGTGGGAAGATTTACAAAAGCAGCAAGAAGATCTTCTAGTATACTCAATGTCTCCATAGAAAGAACCTGTCACCTGCTCATGAAATCACATAGGGGACTTGTTAGCCCCCCCTGTGATAGCAATAAATGAAAAACATAAATAAATGAGGTGTTACATAAAAAATGTATATAAAATAAATAAAAAAAAAAAAAAATTAGGTACCCCTGTACACACTGCATACAAAACGCACAGCATGGGGCAAGCACATGTATGTAAAACACACAAATGAGGTATCTTCGTGAACATCGGTGCAAGAGCAATAATTCTAGGGCCAAAATTCACAGTTAAAGCAGAGCTAAACCTTTTCTTCTATGGCACCCTCTCTTGCTGACCCCAGCACATTTTGCTGGGTGCCAGTCTTTGGCCATCTTCATTGGCTGGTGCGGGATGACGTCGCTCCTGAACATGTGCAGGGGTCAGTCATCCCAGCATACAGGGATCACGCCTGTGATGTAAGCTGACCTGTGCATGTGCAACTCCGTCTACATACTGGAGAAGACAGCAAGCATACAGATAGGTGTAGTTTTTTGCAGAACAGATATTGCATGTCTCTTCTGCAATAATCAGCCTGCCTGCTTGCATTTTTTTTTTTTTGTTTTTGTTTTTTTTTTACAGCAGGACATAGATTCAGTGTAAAGTGTTAATAAACCCAGCCCAGGATCCCGAATTCACTATATCCATTCTCCCCGGACCCCGCATTCACTATATCCATTCTCCCCGGACCCCGCATTCACTATATCCACTCTCCCCGGACCCTGCATTCATTATATCCGCTCTCCCCGGACCCTGCATTCATATATCCGCTCTCCCCGGACCCTGCATTCATTATATCCGCTCTCCCCCGGACCCTGCATTCATTATATCCGCTCTCCCCGGACCCCGCATTCACTATATCTGGTCTCTCCGGACCCTGCAGTCACTATATCTGGTCTTCCCCGGCCCCGCATTCACTATATCCGCTCTCCCCGGACCCTGCATTCACTATATCCGCTCTCCCCGGACCCTGCATTCACTATATCCGCTCTCCCCAGACCCCGCATTCACTATTCTGCTCTCCCCGGACCCTGCATTCACTATATCTGCCCTCCCCGGACCCCGCATTCACTATATCTGCCCTCCCCAGACCCCGCATTCACTATATCTGGTCTCTCCGGACCCTGCAGTCACTATATCCGCTCTCCCCGGACCCTGCAGTCACTATATCCGCTCTCCCCGGACCCTGCATTCACTATATCCGCTCTCCCCGGACCCTGCATTCACTATATCCGCTCTCCCCGGACCCTGCATTCACTATATCCGCTCTCCCCGGACCCTGCATTCACTATATCCGCTCTCCCCGGACCCTGCATTCACTATATCCGCTCTCCCTGAACCCTGCATTCACTATATCTGCCCTCCCGGACCCCGCATTCACTATATCTGGTCTCCCTGGACCCTTCAGTCAATATGTCCGCTCTCCCAGACCCTGCATTCACTGCCATTTTTTGCAATGTGGCGCTGCGTTCCTTTAACTGACAATTGTGCAGTCATGCAATGCTGCACCCAAATTAAGTTGATGTCATTTTTTTCCCACAAATAGAGCTTTCTTTTGCTCGTATTTGATCACCTCTGCATTTCTTTTTTGTGCTATAAACAAAAAAAATTCCCGACAAGTTTGATGGGAAAAAAAAACAATATTTTTGACTTTTTGCTACAAAACATATCCATAACAAACTGTAAAAAAATAAAATTTCTTCATAAATTTAGGCCAAAATGTATTCTGTGATGTCTTTGCTAAAAAGAAAAATCCCAACTTAATTGGTTTACGTGAAATTTATAGCATTTACAAATGGCGTTATAGGTACTGGAATTTGAATTTTTTTCATACTAGTAATGGCAGCGATCAGCGGGAGTCTAACGGAAATACCCTAGTGCAGTCGGGTCCGGTTTTGTTACAGGCCCCACCCAACTCATGCTCTGAATGTGAGAGCTGGTCTTATCAGGAGGTGGGAGGGAGGACCTGACCGCGTGAGAGACCTGGCGCCAGCGAATGAATACGGTAGCAAATTAATTGTAGATTTTCTCTTTTCAGGTGCTTGCGGAAAGCGGCCTTCCGGTCCTACACCCGGATGGTTCACGGGTTTTGGGGAAAGAAGAAAAGAATCCAGGTGCCATCTTGTGTTGTATGGGCTGTCCGAAATGCCTTCCCAGACCCAGATGGACGTTACATAGAAGTGGCCCTGTGGCCCAGTGATTATATAGCCAGTGATATGGCGTTGTACATGTATTAGTTCTGACGTCTTAGTTATGTCGCTGCATTCTTACCCGTAAATGTTCTGTTTATCCAGTTAAGATTCTATTTTTGTTTCCACGGTTTTTACACTTCAAAGGGATGTTTAAAACGAATATACAGTATTTGTCTTATTTGTGATCGAGTTGTATATAATAAAACCAACTAATGTTTTCATGTCACCTGTAAAGCTGGCTACATACCTTACAATCTGATAGTACAGTCTGCTTTAACCACTTCCAGTCCGAACACTTTCACCCCCTTCCTGCCCAGGCCAATTTTCAGCTTCCGTGCTATCACACTGTGAATGACAATTGCGCGGTCATGCAACACTGTACCCATATGAATTTTTTAGCATTTGTTTTAGACAGATTAAGCTTTATTTTGGTGGTATTTATTCACCACTGGGATTTTTATTTTTGTTTGCTATGTAAATGAAAAAGTCCAAAAATGTAAAAAAAAAAAAGTGTTTTTCTTATATAATTTTGCAAACAGATAATATTTTATCATAAATCTTGGCCAAAATCTATTCCGTAATTAGTTTATAACTAAAAATTATAATTTTTAAACATTTGTTTTTACATTTTTTTTTTTTTATATTATTGTTTTTTGTTTTTGTTTTTACATACTGTCACCCTAGCAGTACTGTGTCACCATGGTGACACTGTACTACTTGTGGAGGGTTTTGTCTTGTTTTTGTTTTTTTTCACTGGTTGCTTTTACACCCATAAAGGCTGTAAAAGCAATCATTTCTCCTTCTCTCTGTCTGCATTCTTGCAGCCATTGAGAAGTACTGTGTGAGCTGTGATTTGCTCACAGCTTGTCACATGGTACAAGGCTGTTGTGAATAGCCCTGTACCATGTGACCTCTGTGATCATTCACAGATTTCACACGTAGTAAGCAATGATGTCAGAAGTGACATCTTGCTTACTACTCTGCATGTGATCACTGATTGGCCAATCAGTGATCACATGATCGGGACCTCGCACAGTGGTCCTGTCTGACGATCGGTGTTCCATTGTGTCCGGATTCCCAGGGAGCGCGCACAAGCAAGGTGCGGGGAGGCCTTTTATAAACAGCCACCCGACCCTGCACTGCCACCGTCCAGCCGTTTATATACAACAGCTGGACGGGAGGTGGTTAACCACTTGCCATCTACTCGTATTAAAATGTCCAGACAGCTCCTACCTTGTACATCTTTCCTTTTGTATACAAGGCCCAAAACGAAAGTATTTATTTAAAATTCCTGCCTCCTAAGACTTCCTGCTTTCTAGCTCCCTTGTCGCCTCCTCCCATGCTCACCTCCAGGACTTTTCCAGAGCTGCTCCCATCCTCTGGAACTCCCTTTCCCAATGTGTCCAACTATTATTATTATTATTATTATACAGGATTTATATAGCGCCAACAGTTTGCTCAGCGCTTTACAATATAATGGGAGACAATGCAGCAACAATACAGTTCAGTACAAGAGGGATAGGAGGGCCCTGATCCTGAGAGCTTACAATCTAGGAGACTTCAGGGATTTCCAGGGTTATGGCCAGGTATATATATATAAATAAAAAAATTACCCCAGTCCAAGCTGGAACTATGTAAAAATATATCATGCCTGTAGTTCATCTTCAATACTTTACTTTTAGTGCAAAATGTTTTTTTCGGGGGGGGGGGGGAATTTGTACATGGTGATCTGAGATAAGTGAAGCAACAACACCATGTCAGGCATTACAAGACACATACTGCATGAAATGTACTGCAGGAGAATAAAAATCAGGACATGTCAAACATTACACTACTTTAAGAAATAACTGCTTAAAAATATTAATGGCAAATTCCACCTTTTAAATAATCCTCAGATGATCTGGACCCCTCCACGAGGTGATAAGTCGAATCTCGCAGTTCACAGCGTGAGAAATTGGGAGCCGTGATCAAAGGCTTCAGCTGCAATGGCACCTGCAGAGCACAATCTGGACTGCCTCCTATGAGGACACTCTATGAGAGCCATTATACACATCTGGATAAAGGTCCCCCTGCTAGCAGCAGCCTCCCGTACAAGTGACTACACAGGTGGCCCAAATCATCTGAGAAAAGCTGCAGACACCATCTTCTTTAGTTCCTAAAAGTTTCCAAACATTTGATAGGTATGAGTCCTGCTGGTGATGAGTATTGGTATAGACTTCACATTTTGAGGAAGAGAGCAATGGGGTTCATTCCTATGAGAGATGCTGTACATTTCATTATTGCACATAATTCAAATTGGACATATTGCTTGTATAACGTCATGTCATCCGCTAAGCCACAACTTTTTTTTTTATCTATTATTTTATTACAGGTACCTATATAGTGCCGTCAATTTATGTAGGCTGATGCACGGGTACGTTAGCCCACATCAGCACTGCTCCTGTCCACTGTCTATAGCAGCGGTTCTCAACCTGGGGGTCGAACGATGCTTCCACAGGGGTCGCCTAAGACCATCGGAAAAAAAAAAACACATATTTCCGATGGTCTTAGGAACCGAGACACCGCTCCTCGCCGCCGCCGCCGCCTACCCCACCCGCCGTCTCCAGGTGTGGGCGGGATGACATGCCGCCCCTGTCATCTGGACACACCTCGAGATCAATCCTCGCCTGTGATTGGCCGCCGGCACTGTAGCTCAGGAGAGGCACACAGGCGGCCAATCACCGGCAAGGAGGTGGAGCTTGGAGAGGAGGAGCCGAGCGGCACCGCGAAGATCGAGCGAGTGAAGAGGAGGAGAGCGGCCGGAGAAGGAAGACATCTGACAGGTAAGTGTCGGTACCATGGGAGAGGGAGGGAGCGAGTGAGCCCAGGCTGGAGCAGGGGTCTGCAAGGTAAGTATCATTGGTGTCAGTGGGAATAGTGACCCATCATTGGTGTCACTAATACCAATGATGGGGCACTATTCCTCCCACTGACACCAACGATGGGACACTATTCCTCCCACTGACACCAATGATGGGGCACTATTCCTCCCACTGACACCAACGATGGGGCACTATTCCTCCCCCCACTGACACCAACGATGAGGCACGATTCCTCCCCCAAATGACACCAACGATGGGGCACTATTCCTCCCCCACTGACACCAAGGATGGGGCACGATTCCTCCCCCCCCACTGACACCAACGATGGGGCACAATTCCTCCCCCCACTGACACCAAGGATGGGGCACTATTCCTCCCCCCACTGACACCAAGGATGGGGCACTATTCCTCCCCCCACTGACACCAAGGATGGGGCACTATTCCTCCCCCCACTGACACCAAGGATGGGGCACTATTCCTCCCCCCACTGACACCAAGGATGGGGCACTATTCCTCCCCCCACTGACACCTATGATGGGGCACTATTCCCCCCCACTGACACCTATGATGGGGCACTATTCCCCCCACTGACACCAATGATGGGGCACTATTCCCCTCACTGACACCTATGATGGGGCACTATTCCTCCCCCCACTGACACCAATGATGGGGCACTATTCCTCCTCCCACTGACACCAATGATGGGGCACTATTCCTCCCCACTGACAGCAATGATGGGGCACTATTCCTCCCACTGACAGCAATGATGGGGCACTATTCCTCAAACTGATACCAATGATGAGGCACTATTCCTCCCACTGATACCAATGATGAGGCACTATTCCTCCCACTGACACCGATGATGGGGCACTATTCCTCCCACTGACACCGATGATGGAGCACTATTCCTCCCACTGACACCGATGATGGGGCACTATTCCTCACACTGACACCGATGACGAGGCACTATTCCTCCCACTGACACCAATGACGGGGCACTATTCCTCCCACTGATACCAATGATGGGACACTATTCCTCCCACTGATACCAATGATGGAGCACTATTCCTCCCACTGATACCAATGATGGGACACTATGCCTCCCACGGATACAAATGATGGGACACTATTCCTCCCACTGACACCAATGAAGGGGGCACTATTCCTCCCACTGACACCAATGACGGGGCACTATTCTTCCCAATGATACCAATGATGGGGCACTATTCCTCCCAATGACACCAATGATGGGGCACTATTCCTCCCACTGATACCAATGATGGAGCACTATTCCTCCCACTGATACCAATGATGGGACACTGCCTCCCACGGATACAAATGATGGGACACTATTCCTCCCACTGACACCAATGAAGGGGGCACTATTCCTCCCACTGACACCAATGACGGGGCACTATTCTTCCCAATGATACCAATGATGGGGCACTATTCCTCCCAATGACACCAATGATGGGGCACTATTCCTCCTACTGCAAAATTACAGTTATGAAGTAGCAACGAAAATAATTTTATGGTTGGGGGTCACCACAACATGAGGAACTGTATTAAGGGGTCGCGGCGCTAGAAAGGTTGAGAACCACTGGTCTATAGGCTATGGGAAGCGGTTAAAGTATATTTTCCACCCCCCCCCCCCCCAAAAAAAAAAGAATTACATCTGAGAAACCCTGGATAAAGAAAACAGAGAAGCGGCTATGCACTAAAAAGGAAATCAATGCTATGCCGCCGGATCACGGAGGTCCGGCGCCCCCCCCCACGTTACTCTGCAATACCTGTTGCTATAGTATTCCATACTGTGTTGCTCTGGAAAGATTGTGTCCGTTTATTTATACAGCATTTATTTATATACATTTTATGACTACTTATAAAATTAAATTGAATTACTACACTATGGGCATTCCCCTTATGGCTCTTTGGTGAGCTTTTAATTCCCCAGAGCTCCCCCTGGTAACCATCCCTGGTTTTTGAAGAGGCTGATTATATGTCCTTCAACTGGACCCCCGGATGTAAAGATACCCTGACGTTAACCTACCTTTCCTAAACTGTACCATTTAAGAGGGACTCCGGGCAGACCTCCGTGTGATTAAATACATTGCGCATTTTCCTTGTGTATCTGGTGAGTGCGCATTTTATCTACTTGTTGCCACCCACCTTTATGTTAGATTA